TTCTTAAAAATTTTAAATTTCTTCTAGTACCACATGGATTATTTTTCATATAGACTTTTGAAGGCGTATAAAAATCAATTGATCCAAGAATTTATACCAAATGTTTAGAAATTTAGCTGATTGGGCTCCTAAAAATAGGTCCAATTTTATTCTATTGTATTTTACTAAGAAAAAACAATGTATATAAAATTTCTACAAGAGTATAAGTTTATGTGTTCTTTTGACCATACATAGTGCATATATTTTTTATCAATTAATTCTTTACATAATATAATATTATTCAAGGTCTTAAAATCCATTTCGATCGAAAATTTCTTTTACTTTTTGCAGCCTTCACATTTTGTCTAAATCAATACATAAAATTATATTAGTTTTATAGTGCTCAGTTGCGTCTATAAATGAATTTAATTGGATAATATGATAGTATGTACAATAAAGTTCACGCTTCAAAAAAGCACCATTTTCTAAAAACGAGTACCAGAGTTCCATATGGAAAAATGTACCAAATTTGGTACTAAAGTTGTGGCAAACGTGGTGTTGAGGCACAAATAGCCCGGTTCTCATGCCGAAATTTGAACCGACATATTGTTTTTATTATTACGCTCAATTTAATAATTTGTATTAAAAACAAAAACAATTTTACTCATGCCGTGCCCGAGACAGTCTACGTAATGTAGCCCTTATAGGATTCCCGATATCTACTATATTACATTACAAAGAGTGTCATAAATCGAATGTTCTTTTCCACATTTTATATGTGAAAGATTTACTAATGATATATGTATTATTTTAAATAATTTTCTTTATATTGTAGAAACAAAACATTGGACTTAAGGCATTCGGAATTGTAGAACAACGCCATAAGAAATATATCAGATTTGAGTTGCAAATTGAAACAATGACACAAATTACATACTATCAAAAACAATTTAAGTTTGAGTCACGATTATAAGTGTTATTTTTTATATGAAACTAATATTCGTTTATATTCTCTTATCAAAGTTTTCAGAATCATAAAAGTAAATGATTAACTGTACCGGAAATATATTTATATATATATATATATATATATATTGCAATAAATTGTATGCGGAAGTGTTCATTGGGTTATCGATTTTTTGATAGAAAATGAAAATCAAAGTCCTGAACTTTATAATTGCAAATCGAAATGTAAATAACTTACTTCACTTAAATGCCATCAATGAAAGTGACAAGGCTTGTTGTACTCTATAAAATTTTTACTAAGCGTACATATGTATACGTATATATGTACATATATATATTTATATAGTACAGATTTGTACTATGCGCGCTAAAATTTATGCCCGGCCTTGGTTGATTTGCGTCAACATTCACAGCATTGCATTGAGCGTAAGGCAATGCCAATGTCAAGGTTTATGATATGAGTTCAGTGCACAGCAAGGTTATGTCTCCATCTTATTAGTTATTTGACTTGCGCAATGTTTATATATTTTATATTAATATTTTTACAATTGTTGGAAGTTTGATAAATTCATTGAAGGATATACAGATATTTATATCAAGTTCTGACGATAGTACAATTTAGAGATTCAAACTTTTTTCATTGAAAATTGAAATCTTCAGCAAATAATGTTTTCCACATCCATGGTGCTTATAAACTTATATAGATTACTGTTAAGGCATATGGCATTTCAATTAACAACATTTTTTTATAATCAAGAATTCAAATAACAACAGAAGGCATTGAAAGAACTATGCATCTAATGTAATGTGACCACTTCAGACCGCATTTCTAATATAAAATAAATTTACAATTTAAAAAATAACAAAGACGGTTTAAAGAGTTTTCCATATATCTTTAATTTGTAATAAACATTATGGTCTCAGAGTACTAGGGTTTCAGTTTTTACTCCAGTTATTACACAAGGTTTTAAACTACAATTTACAGATAAAGCAGAACTTTAAGATAATGTCTCTCATATAAAAGCAAAATACCTTCAAACAAGCTAACACTTTACTTCTTATTGGTAACATAACAATAATAGGTTAACATAATAATAATATACCTAGCAACATAAAAATAATATGGTGATATGAAAGTTATATATAAGAATCGCTTTCTTAAAGGATTCAACTTTAAATTTAATTATTTTTAAAACACAAAATTAAATAATGTGAAAAAAGAAATAAAAACGTAATTTATATCTTGACCTTACTAAAAAATTCGCAAAAGGTTCAGGTCCTGTGAAGTGATTCCCTTCATAGGGCATATGCACTTTTCTATGTAAGTTTGTCAGTTTTTACCGTAGACTCCGTCTCGCTCAGAGACTCAGACGAATGTTACTTTAATGTTGAAACCTAACTTACACATGATATCTAATATTATTCCAGATGTATTAATAAGAAATGGGAACTGCAATGCCGCATAATACAAACACTTTACAAAGCCATTATAAAACCAATACTATAGTATGGTATCACAATGTAATGATCAATCTAAGATAAATCTTCAAATTGTATGGTACTCAACAGGGTACAACGCAGGGTTGAGATTTTAGTATTCGCAGTGTCCTAATTACTAATCAATGTATTGCATTAAACTCTATACTTTGACTCATAAACCTGATCTCATAAGCAAGTAAATAGCGGTATCCTCTATAGCAGTGCTTTCCAACTTCTTTTGACCAAGGACCACTATTATAGTTTTGTTTTTAGTAGGGCCCATAAAGTTTAAGAATAATGAACAATATGGTTATTTTAAAATGCTTTATGAATTTCTGGTATAATGTATAATGAATTGTAGAATAGACTATAAAATAAATATATAATTACTTGAAAACTTTTTGTGCTTACTATCTAATAAGTGAGGTCTCAGTGGAAAAATTATGGATCCATACCTGATTTACAGACCGTTTTTAACAATTTTGTGGACCACCGGTTGAGAACCACTGCTCTACACCAACACTTTAAGCTAAAAGTCAATTTTCAGATCACTTGGCCTAGGTGTGTTAATGCAAAGAAAAATGTAAATCATCAATCAAATGTGGACATCTGTACGCGAGTTGAACCTTATTTCATAGTAAAAAATTTAGTAATCTCATTGTGACGCCTTGTTAAAATGCTACTTTTATTATGGTTTCTATTTATTATGAAATAATTAGCTGTAGTAATAATCGTTTGTAATTATCAATTTTATGTATGAAATATTTAATTAGTGCTATAGTTGTTTATGTAAAAGCTTTTCATTTTGTCCTGTTAATGAAAATCGTAATTACGCGACAACATTTAATAATACATCCCAAAATGGTATGTTGCGTATTTTCAATGAAAACTATTTGGAACTACCCTACCACAGAAAATTTTATAATTCATATATTAAACGTATAACACTTTTAAAAGGTTTTATATTGCTTTATATAGTTTACTATTAAAATTTGTAAAAACAAACAGCATTATAATGCTTTAATACAACACTATTATTAAAATAAATCTATGCTTGACCAAAAGTAAAATTTCATTTGCAACAGGAGGACTAAATTTTTTTTTTAAATAAATTGCGTCCCAATTAAGTTTTTACAAAAAATTCCCTAGTATTTAATATTTTTAAAAAAATTCCCTAACCTAATCTAAACACAACTTCAACTTATTGATAAACCTTACAACAAAAACAAGGTAAAGGTACTAAATATATTACCTGACAATTATAGGATACGTGCATGATACGTGTATCTTTACTGAGTGCCGATTCTATTAGCAAAAGATGGTACTTAATAGAAATGTGTCTAATATAGAAGACAGTATTCTGAGTTTCGGTTTAGCATTTTAGTTGCTTATCCGTATAAGCTTAGCTATTAAAATTGCTTTAGGCCTTCGACAACGGTCCATGACTTTCCAAACAAAATTCGATGTATTTATTGTAATTACAGTACCATTTGTAGGAAAGCCTTTCTTTGAAGTATGTTAACTGCTTTCATAGGGTATTCGCACCTTTCTGTGTAAGTTTGTCAGTGGATTTTAACCATAGACTTCATCTTCTGAAATTGAGGCGAGTGTTGCTTTGTTATTGTAGGTTAACTCATATATGAGATCTGATATAATCCCAGAAGTTTTCACAGTTAATAAGAACTTAGAACATAACCCGATACAATATTTAGTTACCCAAACAAGTTAAAATTGAATAAAACTAAACTTTTACATAATTTTATGTAAAACTATTCCATATATTTTTTGGTATATTATCTGACATATTTTAGTTCCATTACGTCTGTATATATAAAAATATTATTTAGGACACCAAATATACTCGTATAAGTAGGAAAAGTAGACGTCGCTGTCTATTATACAAACATTAGCACGATTATTTTTTAATTAAACGCTCACTCTAATATGTATTATATTTATATAATATATCATTATTACTGAGTTTTTATAATCAACAATCAAGCACTCAATAAGTGAAGTAATAAAATATAATCATAAAAATAATAAACAATACCGGTATATATGTCTCATCTAGTCAAACCTCTCAATATGAGATGAGGGTCGCTATATGCATATCGAATATTATTAACTATCCTATCTTGATCCTAACTACACAAATCGGTAGTGAGAAATGAGAAAAACAACCACAATAGCAAGAACAACTATATATATAAATTACATATTAAAAATCAAAGAAAAAAGAGAAAACTTTCCATCGGATAATTGCTTTTAGTTGCCCTCTTGCATTTTCCCACATATGCCAACCTTATCATATTTGTAGTTCGTAAAATTTTCCTCTACCCGCAAATGACATTAAACCAATTTATTTCGCTTTTGTTTATTAGTCACAATCAGTACACATTCAACAGACAGATGTTGTTAGGTGCAGACGGATTTTAGAAACGAAAGTGTATGGAGTGGGACAGTTCTATATAAAAACTTTATAAAATAAAATAAATACATTAATTTATAAAAAACTATATATTTTAACATTATAAGTGAATTTTTCATTATAAACAAATTTATTAATTTAATAGGCTGGAACGAAGAAAATGTCAGAACGTCAGCCGCTTTTACTCCAAACATCGGATTCAAGAGCTCTTGAAAACCGGACAATACCGCGACCAGATATCCGAAACTCACCAGAAAATACACTAGTTAATGTGCAAAGCGATGAGAGTATTGCTGGTAAGTATCTACTTGATTATAAAGCATAAATAAAATTAATTGGAGAAACAACTTTATTCTACTTAAAGTGGTCACTAATTTTTTATATATGTACCTATACGGATATACTTTATATTGATATATAAAATGTAAATAGTTTTTTCTTCAATTGAAACTATTGAACAAATTAATTTTTCGTCCAAATTATCCATTTTCGTCCAATATAATCTTTTTGCTTATAAAGTGGTTCCATGTTCACTAATCTTTAGTAGCAATAACTGACCAAACATTTCACTTTACAAAACTTATACAAAAATTAGAAGAAGCGATCATTTGAAAGTGACAGATGTTGGGCAGATGACAATACATCTTATCTAAGCGCTCAAGACTTTTAGTGAGTTACTAAACTTGTATGATATCTCGCATTATTTTAGTAGAATACTATACCTTATTGATTGATCTATGCTTGCATCATTGTTCAAGTTTATAATTCCATTTGTTCAGCTGATGACAACACTTTTCATAATTAAAAACCTAAGCTAGCAGACCTGGAGAATATAGTATAGATGGTAATACATTCCATTCAAACTGTAAAAGCAAGTAACCCAACTGAAATGAAATTTCATATTATCTTGGTTGATTTTTTTGAGAGATTAATTCTAGTTAATGATAGAACTCTTTAGAATTGATAGTGGATAATGAGCAAAATAATCAATGCCCTAGAAATTTCACTAAACAGCCAGCAATACCTTTTTCATGATATATTAAATTTCGAAGTGATTTGAGCCAATTAATTTTTCGTAACCAATGAAGAGTGATCTGAAAAATTAAAAATTTTCGTGATGGTTTAAAGGCACACATTTTTTTTTTATAGAAACATGTAGAACTGATATGTTGAGTTCTAAAACTATCCAGTGCAATTTGTGACGAAATTCACACGGTGCACATCAGTGCATTACTTTGATGGAAATCTTTCAGTTTGTTGACAAAATGGTCACGTTTTAGTTTTCAAATAAGACTGCTAAATAATCATCACTAATCTTATAATAATCGCCACTAATCTTATGCTTCTACGACAGGTAATCGTTATAAAATATATGGCATGCAATCTAAAAACTATGGCGATCACGTTTTCGTCGGTTAACTGCATTGTAATTGCATTCGATGGGTAGTAGTCGATATAAATTTACTATATGCATAGCAAACTGTCGTTATGACTCCTTTCGGCTGAAGTCATTGTTTTGACTGTTTTCTTAAAGTGGGTAATAATGGATCCTTGTTTTGTACATAGTATTGAATCAACACGTAAACATTGTTTTGAAATCGTCAAATAATCGCGTTTATCATCCACAGTGGCTAACATCATGTAAATTGTTATTGAGTTCTTTCTGCATTAATACTTTTAACAAAAGATGGGAAGACTCAACGATATGTAGACATCTGTATGCAATCTGGCCACTTTCCGATAAAAGGAAATCGAAAACTCTAATTGAGATGTCCCGCAAGGACATTGGTCTTCTGGTAGGGTTGACTACAGGACACTGTAAACTAGGGAAACATGCTAGAAGACTAGGTCTTCCTTTCAACCAAATCTGTCGTAGCTGTGGGGAGGACGATGAGAGCGCATCTCATCTTTTGTGTTTTTGTCCAGCTCATGCACGTTGGTGATTTAAAACTCTAGGAGCCCCCTTCCTTGAGGACCTGGACCAGTTACAGGATCGGGCTTTAAATAGCATTTTATGCTTCGCAAAAGGTTCTAGGTGGTTTTAAACCTTGATGTTTTTATTACTTATATACGGCATCACAATGGGCTAATAGACCTAAGTGGATCCACTAGGGATCAGCGATATAACCTAACCTAACCTAACCTATCATCCACAGTGAACAAACGCAAAAATTTTTCAAACATATATATTCACAAAAAATTGAGGTCACGGTATTATATACAAATGTGACATTCAAAGTTTTCGAATTTTTACTCTTACATCATGTTACAGCAATGTTGTTGACTTTATTGATGTTTTTTGCTATATTAGCCTCAGTTGGACATCTCTAACAAGGTGTATGACAAGTAAATGTATGTTTACGTTTGAATTCATTTACTCAATCTATTCTGTGATCACTCTAGTAGATTAATGTACTATAATTTCGGATATACAAAAATCCCTTTGAAAATTATCAGATCTTAAATGTGCATGATTGCATCAGGTTGCTTACCTGCTCTATCACACAAACAATATTTCTAGGTGTACTCTTTTTTTTTCAAAGTATGAAACAAATATTGTATATTGATATATAACAATCTGATATATGTACTATTATGTTTCGTCCTACGACGCATTTCTTAACTATTCCTGATCGTAAACTAGATGGTGTTTGCATATGAAATGTTGTTATAGTCAGGGTAATTTTTCTATACCTGGAAAAGTCTGTTTAATTTTCATTTCTTACGAACAGTGAAACTCTAATTGAAGTTTAACAAATAGCGTTTAGTTTTGATTAATGTGTACTTGATTGTCGGTAGCTAATGCCTCAAGGACGCAGACGCAGACGATTTTGGAATCAACTCAAATGACTTTAATTATATTTTACACTCATATGTTTTTTTATTGAATTTCAGCTGGTTCCGATGAAAGTTTAAATAAATCAAACTATAAACCATCGATGCATCGTACTTTGGAGCATCCCACCTCTAATTTGGATACCATGATACATTTACTTAAAGGCAATATAGGCACCGGTATTTTGGCTATGCCAGATGCCTTTAAGAATGCTGGTTTATTTGTGGGACTTTTCGGCACATTAATAATGGGCGCCATTTGTACGCATTGCATGCATATGTTGGTTAAATGTTCACATGAATTATGCAGACGTCTACAACAGCCATCCTTAAGTTTTTCCGAAGTAGCTCATTGCTCATTCGACACGGGACCCATTGGTTTAAGACGTTATTCTGGACTAGCACGGTACGTACAATTTTATTATACAATTTAATTATAATTTCATTTGGGAGAGTATAACTTTGAACTGACTATAGCTGTTTTGGTCATTAATGACTAATATTCGATAATATTCAAAATAGTGTGTGATCGGTCAGCCCAAAATTGTATTTAATCAGTAATTGTAGATTTATCGATTAAAAATTACATTCAATAAAACAATTGTTTTACGCTTTTTTTAATTAAACGCTTAATTAAAAATATATAAGTAATATGTATATAATATATATTATTAATAATTGAAAACAATATTAATATTTAATATTAATTAAAATTTTTTATATGACCGTGAAAAATAATCTATTTAAACGTAAAATCGGGGGATAATGAGGAAATATAAATATAAAAATTAATTTTTCATGAAGTGGTTTTTTTTTATGTGTTTAAATCATTGAGTTTAAAATTATTTTTTGTATATATATTTTTTAACTTTCACATCACCCCAAAATAAAATAATTTTCATTAATTTTAATTATGTAATATATATGTATATAACTTAAAATTAAGTTTTAAATTATATGCGGTATATGCGGGCTAATTAGCATAGAAATCAGTTCAACATATTTAAAAAAAAATATCTCAAAACCAGTGTAAATAATTATTTATATACCTATATATTATTTATAGTATAGAAATTCTTGATATAAGCGATGAGATGAATCGATCTATTAATATCTTGTCGTCTAAATGTGTATTCACCACTAAGAAGCAAGTCCCGGCCATCTTGCTTCTTATGTTACTTCTAATGATCGAAATTGAACCAAACTCTGGTCCCGAGTTGGTCCAACTACTTCTACCTGGCAATGTTGTGTCTGCAACATTCCTCTTCGCATCTGTTAGGTGCAACAGTTGTAATAACTGGTATCACCTTCGTGACTGTTCTGATTGGCATACCCATAACGTTTGGAATTCTGCTTGTTGTTCGACAATTACTCTTCAGACACTCTCAATACTACAAACGACAACATATATATGATTACGTCTCTGATTAAATTATAATGCTCTTACATCCAGTATAAGTAATACTTAAAAAATGAAGTGACGCCGAATTTTTAAAAATGACTAAATTCAGTGAAAGAGAAAATCATTACTTTTATAGTCGAATATGGAAAAGTGAAATTATACCATAACCATGAATATAATTGTACCAATGTTTAAAAATATCAGTATAAACGTTTGATAGTGTTAGTAGGAAATGTCCTTGCACAAGAAATGTAGTTTAGATTTAAAACTAAAAGATTTCTAGTGAAAAATTAATACGATAGATCCAGAACTAACCAAATTTCAAAATGAAATAAGACATCGCGAAATGTAGTAAATCCGAGTTTGATCTTCATATATAGTATATCAACATATCAACCATATTAAATTGTACATGTATTCTCGGTAGATCGCCGTTAAAATGTTACAGTACGCAATCAAGAATATAAGATTGCATAGTTAAAATTTAATACTAAAAAATTTGTAGTGAAAAAGTAATAAGATAGATCCACAAGTAACCAAACTGCGAACTAAAATAAGACATCGCGAAATGTAGTAAATCCGAGTTTAATCTTCATATATTGTATATTAACCATATTTAACTGCACAAAGACATTCTCGGAAAATTGGCGTTAAAATATTACAGTACGCAATCCAGAAGATTATCATATATTTAGTAAAACAGGAGTAACTATCGCGTACATGAATGTCATAGCTATAGTGGCACCTAATCGATATTACCTTGACGTTCAATGCTATAATACAAATTTTGGACAAATAGTCAGACATGGTTGGCTGTGACACATGAACCAGAATTGCAGACAAACAAAGTGTTAAGATCCAATTAAGACACATCCATTCCTAAAAAGAATAAAGACTGAAACTCCTACCACCGTTAAATGAACGAATTATATACATAACGTAATGATGTTTTATGTTTAACTGCTTTCAAACTAATTGAAAATATATTTAAACTTATACTTGCCATTAAATTTTAATATGTGTAACATCTATATTAATTTGGCAGTATAGCTTATATTGTATATAATTCGATATTCGTTGTCAAAGCATACCAGAGCATAGATTAAGAATTCTTTGCTAAAACCTGTCCTATGGTTTTAGAAAGCAATTAAAAGTTTTAAAGAGCGTGATTTTGATTTATGGATAGGGGTTTTGATTCTTAATTAGGCTAATTATTAGGCTAAAGTTCTTGTTGTTGTAACTCGCTGGGACCTGTAAGCAGATAACATGAAAGGATAAACAAGACGATTACATGCGTGGAGAAGTGGGTGGGTAGTGGTTGGGGGAGGTGGAGAGAAGAAAGAGGATAGGAAGGATTGAATGGATGGTATATAATTGAAAGTTAGTCTGGATCCAGGCGGAGAAACCCGGCCACTTAATGGGGTGCGGTTGGGAGGAGATGGAGAGAGGAAAGAGGATAGGGAGGATTGAATAGATGGTATATAATTGAAAGTTAGTCTGGATCCAGACAGAGAAACCCGGCGACTTTATGCGATGTGTCCAGAGGTCAATTGGACGCAGGTTTTTGTGTGTGGTGGGACAGGAGAACAGATGGGCGACGTCCTGGGGAGAAGAGTTGCAGTTAAGGCACACATATGGAATGGACGTGTTTATGCTTGACAAGTAACTGTTTAGCATTTGGCTATATCCAGATCTCAATTGAGCTAGGATAGTTTTTGCTGCACGGGGGCGGTGTCGTTCTTCCAAAGTAATTCTTCGATTGCGCTAGTTTCTAGACATTAAGTTGATTATTGTGGCCGAATCCAAAAAAAAGATTAAGTATCTAAAACAGATTACGCTACAAGTCTTTGTATTCATACTTTTCGACGCTGAATCCAAGCTTCTCAAAAGATTTGTTTCTTAACAGAAAATACTATTGTACTCGTTTACCATTAGATCCATTTATTTTACTTAAACTAAAAATAGAGAGAGAGAATAATCAATAATTATTTGTTTTTATTCTTTATGATATCGTTTATATATCTATAGAACTTTTTTTTATTTATTTTAGATTAATTTAACCTATTTACTTATTTTTACAGGCGTGTAATTACAACATTCTTATTTATAACGCAGATGGGTTTCTGCTGTGTTTACTTTGTATTTGTGGCTCTTAACATCAAAGAAGTGATAGATCATTACTTCATGAAATTAGATGTACGCGTCTATTTAATGATAATGCTAATACCAATGATTTTATTAAATTTAGTGCGAAATCTCAAGTACCTGACGCCAGTATCATTGTTTGCAGCTATTCTAACGCTAACTGGCTTAGCTATATCGTTTTTCTATATGCTACAAGACTTACCACCAACGGACACAGTAAAACCAGTGGCATCTTGGGCTACTTTACCACTATATTTTGGTACAGCCATATATGCTTTCGAAGGTATTGGCGTAGTTTTGCCTTTAGAGAATAATATGAATACTCCGGAAGATTTTGGCGGTACTACTGGTGTTTTGAACACAGGCATGGTAATTGTTGCCTGCCTTTACACATCCGTCGGATTCTTTGGTTATTTAAAATACGGGGACGGTGTCAAAGGTAGCATTACCTTAAATTTACCACAAGAAGAAATGTAAGTATTATTATATAAATTTTTTGTTTGTTTATATAATGTTTATAATAAATAATTTATATAACAGATTATCACAAATGGTACGCATTGCAATGGCAGTTGCTATCTTTCTTTCATATACGCTCCAATTTTATGTTCCAGTGAATATTGTGGAACCTTTTGTGCGAAATCAATTTGATACAACCCGTGCTAAAGATGTGGCAGCAACCGTTTTGCGTATTGTGTTGGTCACTTTTACTTGTAAGTTAATAGTGTTTTTTTTTTTACATTAATTTCATTTTATAATAATTTTATTTTTGCTTTATAGTTATTTTGGCTGCTTGTATACCAAATCTTGGTCCAATTATATCTTTAGTAGGTGCTGTTAGTAGCTCGGCATTAGCACTTATTGCACCACCTATTATAGAGATTATAACATTTTGGACAGTGGGTTTTGGACGCTACAATTGGGTACTATGGAAAGATATTGGTATTTTGGTATTTGGCTTGTGTGGTTTTGTATTTGGTACCTATGCTAGTGTAGCACAAATCTTAAATCCAAGTATTAATTAGTGATATTCTTAAGTAGCGAATAACTATTTACAATAAGTGGTATGTTTAGCGCGATTATTAGGCTAATTAGTACGTTTGTGGTAAAAGTTGGGTAGCAAATTTTGCAATTTATTCCAAAGAAGCAACGGTTTAATAGAAATGAAATGTTTCCATATAAAATACTTAAAGGTGCTATCATCCAATAATGTGTGTTTTAGGTATGATTATAAAGAATGAAGTAGTTAATTAAGAGCTTGAAGATAATCTTTTAAAAGCATTTGTTTAAAGTAGTTTTTTTTTTTTTTAGGTTAAGTCGTTTTTTTAACTTAATTTTATGTTAGTTATGTGATGAATATATAATTTACAAGAAAAAAATGTTCTGTATACACAAACTTATACCAGAGACAACTTATATATAGATTTCCAATGCCATTCAAATCAAATGTCCAATAAAATTTTGAAATTTGACCACATGATCCTGGTTCAATCTACAATAACGTGTCGTCATTCATACACATACCATAAACTAAGAAGAAACACATAGATTAAATTAAAAAATGTATGAGTTCATATTAATCTTCCATATTTAAGTTAATTCAAAACAAAAATCCAATCCAGTTTATATGTGTTTCAAAAGCAAAGTACAAAATTTAAAATTTTTAATTTATGATTCAATGTGCTAGTAAGAACTTCAACTGAGAAATTACTGTTTTCTGAAATATTCAAATCATTGCCGATTTCGTGGTTGGCGTTGGATTTAATTAAACGAAAATTATTTATATATTTCACTTATTTTAGATTAGTATTTACTGAAATAATTCCAATTAATACTTACTAATTGATTGATTTCTACGTTTATAGCAATTTATGTGTCAAATTAGCCAGTCATCCGAGTAGCTTCGTTGGGCATTCCAATAAATATTTATAATTCTACCAATTATTGTTTACGTTAAGTAGAAACCTGCATTTTTATATGATTATTATAAATACTAACAAATATAGCGTATGCTTAGTTGGTCATTATAGACGTAAGTCGTCCTCGGTAACATTCAGTAGTAGCTGCTGTATTGATGTCCATGTAGTGCATCGGTTTATTTCTAGATGCTTTAATCTCTTATCTGGCTACTTACTTCCCTGAATATTGTGAATTACTTATTTAATTTAAACTTGATTTTGTACAAATTACAATTCAATCTTAAATTAGGTGTTGGATTTTTTTATAGAATTTATGGAAATTACGGTTACTTGCGCTACGTGAATAGGGTATAAAAATATTCCACTTCTTTCAGATTTCATAATTTATAATTTATGTGTTTTATGTGTGTTTTACATCATCTCAAAGTAATTAAAGACAAATTGTGATCCTTTGTTAGTTACCATAATTTTTAAATGCATAAAATTATATTTCTCCTTCTTCATTACTCAATAAATTTGAATCAATATAGCCAATCTAATATATCTTTATATGTTTCCTAGCTTATGTAGCTAACAATAAATCTCAATTTTCATTATTCTTTAAATTCAAATCAATTTAATCCTACTAAATATCTTTATATGTGTTCTAGCTCGTGCAGCCAAAACAATATTAGTCTGTTTTGTTGAAAACCCAAAAGATGATTAATGTTAAACAATAACTAATTTTTTTAAATTAATTACTTATTGAATATAAACTACATATAACATAGATAAACTACTTGTACTTATGATTTCAATTACTTTATTATTTGTAATCATTAAACTACCTCAATTTGTATGGATACATATCTCTCTTAGCGTATTGAACCGTTGCTTACTCTTAAAATAATACTATTTTTGCTCATAAAACTTTCCGACAATAAACTTAATTTGTTTTTAAATGATATATACATATAAATATATACATATATTTATATAATTTTTGTTTAATGTAACCATTGAAAGAGACATTGTGATTCTAAGTAGTGAAATAATTCTATACTTTATTTCATTTATCTCAAAAGACAATAACTAGCCTATTAAGTATTTTTACACAACAAATATATAGAAAGGTGCATATTAGAAAGTATATAGTAAAATTTTTTGTAAAGTTAATTATTTATGTTATATTATTTGTATTTTAATTATTTTATATAATTTTTGTATTTACATATATTATTTCGTATAGTGTATGCGTTAAACCAAAGCATTTTTAACGTTAAATGATCTGTGTTTGATTTTAATTAAGTTAAATATACAATATACATAAACAAATACAAATTCAAATTGTTATAAAGAATTTTATCAGTATATAATCTAATGTTTTATGTAAATACTATATTATAAAAAACTAAAATTAAGCAACAAACGAAAGTAATGTATTTTGAAAATATATAGAAATTCACATTTGTTTGCTCAATTATGTTGTAATAAATTTCTGTTAAATATGTTAAATATAATAATGGTATTCACGGTCTTTAGTAACTAGCGCAGTAAATGAGCGGCATTTACATATAATTAAAATGTGTTTTTTGTTGCTATGTCACTTGGCTGCCAAGCTCGTTACACAGGATGTTGAATACTACTTATGTCTATGAAGTTGTAAGATAATGATATACCTGTAATGCACTTTTGTATGTATATATGATTCCTTATTTATATATTATTTTTTAATACTTTACATGAGGGAAGTGCATACGAAAGTACTTTAATAAACTATATATTTCGTCAATTTTTTATTTTAATTTTATAACTAAGATTTAAAATACAATATATTTGTGATAATATTGGCTTACAATTGTATAAATAATTTGAGAATGAATAGTTTTTGATCAATAGTGATGATTCTTTGTAATAATTTCTGTATTTTATTATATGCAATTTACTTAACAATCCCTAACTAATTGTCAGAGTAGTCAAAATTAGTCCACTAAATCAAATCTATTATTGCTACATAAATAAATCGTTTAAATATGAATTTCTGACATATTATTAATAATGCTATTTAGATTCTACTTTGATTGGATTGGTGTTTGCAGTGCACTTTTAGCATAACACCATCAGTTAGTCTATGTAATATAAGCATAGACTATCTTTGAACAATTTTATAATAAAGTATCTGTTATAACAACAATTGATACATTAAAAGTTGTTCTTTCCATTTTATATTAATAGGATTGTCTAGTGCTTCGTGCTAGATCAATAATATAAAGAGCTTTCAAAAGTAAACATTGATTTTAATAAATAGATGTGTCTATTTTTCTATATATTATGCCATCTATCGACAATTACTGGCCCACCTCCTCATATTAGAAATTATTCAAAAGTCTTACCTAAAAATACTCCAGTCAACGAGCTGAAACACTTATTCGATATGATTTTAGACCACACAAACTGCTCTATAACTACTCTATATATTTATTGTAATTTTACTAAAAGGTTTGTACTCAACCAAATCCATCAGTTTTTCTTATACCAGCCTATTCAAGAACAAAAGTACCTTGCTTTCTTGTCTCAAATTTATTTTTAGATCATTTCATCTATAATATATATTGAAGATCGTTTACATATAATAATCTTGTAAAGTTCATTGAATGCTGTCAATATTGTAAAGCGTAGTCATTCAATAAATAATCGTTTATCTTAAGATGTACATATTACACGACGTTAACTTACATTTATGACAATTAAAATGTACATTCAACAGACAGCTTCATTCCTTCTTATATATTGTTGAAGCTATTATTGAATTCCTTTGTCATTTTCAATTTATTTCAAAAATTGCTATGCGACTGAGTAACAATATTAAATTTTAATAATTTGGGATACCTGACAAGAGCTTACAACCTTCCATACAGATGGTATATTATTTCGAGACCATAAAGTGTGTAGTTACATAGTAACACAATTTTCAATATGCATTCGACTGATATCTTTAATTTAAACCCTATTGAATTTGGCTCAAATCCATGGCCACTGAGGCCATGTTCCTCCGCCTCGACCCAAGCTAATTTCTAAACCCAAGCTGTTGTTGTAAAAACAACAATAACTACTAAAACAACTATTAAATTGTACAAACTTATATTGTGTTTGAATAACAAGTCCTTTTCTATACGTATTCTTATAAAATAATTTTCTAAGACGCTGTCATCTTTTCAACTATATTTTCGGGATTTATTGGTTCAGACAGGACTTGAATCTTTTCTTTTAGTATGTGCCATCTGGTAGGAAAAAAATGGTATACTCTGCATCGTTGAAAACTCTGTCGCCGTATATATAGGTAAAATAAGATCATTTGTAATCTTAACCAAATCTTTATGAAAGGTTCTATTTATTCGGTTTATTATGATTCCGTCATGGACAAATATATAATTAATTTTTATAGAAAACACTTGATTTTAAATAATTAAAATATCTACAATAAAATTTATTCACTGTACCAATGCGGTAATCATTGTTTTTGTAACCCTAGCCATTCTACAATCCTTTTAACGTTTGAGTGCTAATGTAGAATTTTAACGAGTGTGTTTTGGAACAATAGACTATCTAGCACACAGTGCACAGTATTCATTAAAATTTTTATCAATATAATCATTTTTTGATTTCAACAAAAGTCTTTCTCCAACATTATTTACAATAATGACTATAGCATTGTTGTACAACTTCATATATTTCATTGCTAAGTACAAAGAGACTAATAAATAGATAAATGTAGAAACATTTTTTTAGCAACGACTAACGGAAATAAAAATATCGCAAGTTAAGAATATCACAATATATTTTAAACCAAGTACCAGTACATCAAACTAGGTGGTTCAGTAAAGTGTAAGGAAGTCGACTGTCCTTAACTAAATCCAAAAAGAGATATACAATTTAGATAAAAGGTCGGGTGTTCTATAACTAACAAAATGCATTGATGAACGGAAGAATCCGACTGATTATTATGTTGGAAATGCTGTACAGTAAGTTATAGCGTACCTTTCTGTTTAAATCAAGATCAGGATAATCTTTAACAGAGACAAAACAGGTATTTTGATATATTTTCCTTGAACACTAGCGGACTCGATCAACAAAAGTTGTGCTGTTGGAGGCCTAACCTATATCATACGACCATATAAATCAGTTCTATTACTTAAAAATAGACATTATTTTAAATATAAAATAATCTCATCTTGCTAATATGAATACAGCCTAAACTCCTAGGTTAGAAGTATGTAGGCCACATCTTCCTTGACTTTACTTGATTAGGGCAATTTCTGTTTTTCAAAAAACTAATTTAATAAATAAAAAAAATTTATGCACTAAACCCATCACAACTATAATTTTTCAAAAAGTTTTTGATTTAATAAATGTGAGAAGAGGAACATACAGACAATTTTAAAACTGAGAATTATAAGGTAAAAAGTTTAATGAAAAATAAAAATATACAATATATATAGAAAAACCACTTTACTCAATAGGTGACATTATGAGATAAAAGTGATATTACAGGTATGACTAAATTTTTTTATTTCAAAGCTCAATAAATTTATCTCTATTTTAGTCCGAGTAAATTTTGTCATGTGCGGGTAAATATTAAATTAACTGAAACTTTATACTTTACAAATAATTAAATGTTTTTTATTCCTAATAATTAACTGAACTTGTGAACGATTCGAAATGGTTTTAAGTCCATTTATATTGCACAAAAAAGTACATTGCTTTTGTTTGTAATTGCTTTATATATATCAAATTAAATCTTTTTCTCTAGTATATATTTAATTATTTCTCAGCGTATATAAAAAAACTTACATTTTAAAAATTCAATGTATAAACAAATTTGATAATATAGTTATAGAATTTGAAGTTAATTATTTAAACATTCCCTTAAATATTAAATAAAAATCGTTCAAATATTAAATTAGAATAACTATTTACATATTGTATAATAAACGTAAAGTACTAATACATAGTGCCTTCGATGGCATATATATGTATATGTTATGTTATATTAACCCAACATCAGGTTACAGCCTGGGTTTCTAATAAAAATTTATTAAAATAAAAATAATATTTAAACAATTTAAAATTTTAAAAAAATTTTGATAAAAATATAAATAAGAATATATCAAAAGACCAACTTATTATATATATGTATATAAATATATACATACATATATATATATATATATATATATATATATATATAGCTTTAGATTGTGTCGTATTTAATATATATTAATATAAAATATATTTATCTAAATTTAAAGGACAATAAATGAGTATTATATATAATAAATACATTTGATTCTAATTTCTGTTTTGTAGGAGTAAATGAGCCCTTTTTTGACACTCATTAAAAGGTTTTTTTATATATCTTCTTATTATACCATTAAAGAAATTTTGAATATTTTAATTTTTTTTATATTGTAAGACACACAAATCACAGGATATAATATTTGTCAATGAAGGCCAATCATTTTGGTATTTAAAACAATTTAAAAAATATTATAGAAACATATGTCGTTTTCGATTGATAAATGTTGTTGTTCCTATTTCTGTTAAACTACCGACTACCACCTTTCTTTTATTACTCACATCATTTTTTAGAACTCATATCAGTAATTTCCTTTTTCAAATATATTTGAATCGTTTGTTCTTTATAATTGTCTAACAAAAATACTGTTTTTTTTCACAATATAACTTAAGTTCAAATATTCAATTAGTTCAAAATAACTTTATTAACATTGTTACTTTTATTATTATTATTTTTTTACACATAGATATATATTATATATATATATATATTTCACGCAAAAGAAATCTTTAGACTTTTTATTTATAAATACTTCTTATCACAAACTTAGTTCAAAACTTAATTTAAACTTTTTATTGCAAACTTAGTTCAAAATTTGATGTCTTTTAGATTTTAACTTCTTATATATAAATCTTATATATCCAACTTGTTGCGTTGCCTAACGTTTAACAATTTCATAACCTTAGAGATGTCCCAATTACCTCATTTAGATTTGCAATAATTTTATAATTATAATTTGCGTAATACGCAAAATTTTCATTTATTAACGCTGCTATATATATTTTTGCAACCTTTCAAAAATCAGCATTTCTTATCGTCAAACTGACGGCCTGATGCTTTGGCTTCAGCTAATATTTGCCAAGCTGCAAATAACTTTGCCTACTTTTAGTAAAATGTACAATCAACTTAGATCGTACACAAATAAAAGTTATATATTTTTCAGATACATAATTTTAGAATAAAGAAAAATTGATAAATTATTACAGCTAAAAATTATTAATTACAAAGTAATTATATAACTTACAACATAAATCTAAATCTAACTTTTACTATCGTGATTCACATTAGTACAATTTTTATTTTCGATTGGTAAATCTGGAGCGAAATGTATAACACTCTAGAAAAATTTACAATACTCTAGATGTTTTGCTGTCCCGACAAATAAAGTGTGATTTAATTCGTTATATGTATTTATGAAGACATAAGTTACTAACACTACTACATAAATTTAGATTATTTTAAAAATGTTCAAGTGACTAACAAAATTCGACAGATCGAGAGTAAATTTTGATTAAATCCAGATTTACCAATCGAAAACGTCAATAAATTCATTAAAAAATAATTGTAAACGTATCCATTTTTCAGTATACAATTCAGCATAACAGTTCAAATTTTTGGGAAGATTAAGCACCGACGTAAGCAAATCGATGAGGCAGCACTGCAGTTCGAGTGTCTTATGCAATGTGTTCTAATGAACTTCAGTACCAGAAATGCAGCAGAGTTCTGGAAACACTCATATACAAAAAATATACAAATAGCAGTATAGTATTCAAATCCCCTTTTGCATAACTCAAAATATTTTTATGGACGGATTTATTTCAGTTCAGCTCTCAGTAAACGAGTGCTTATAGGTGGAATGTATAGTTAGATAATTTTTGCAGCTTTAAAAACCTAAAAATGAGAAATAATTTAGTATTCAAAATATTATTGACTATTATTGATTATTATACCAAGTTTTTAGGAAGAGATAAATTTTATTTAGGATTCCATTCATACACATTTTACTAATTATAATATATTAGTAAATGTTAAAAAGCCTCTATGGACGAATTCATGAGCGAAGTTTTATGTACAAATTTTAGCTACCAGCAAACGGTTTTATCCTGCATAATTGCTGTAAAGACCTTTTGAGCAATAAATCTAAAAAATAAAAAATTTATTCACAATTAAAAAAATATTTATTCACAGAGTAAAAATATTATTGAAGTAATAAAATTTTAAAATTGTTGTCCATGTATATAATAAAAACAAACTGCTTTTTGTTGAAAGCGATTGGGCCGATTTATTATAATTCGGGTAATTTCTTACCGAGAGAAAATTCGTAAAAATTACCCGGAGAAGTGAAAATATCTGGAAACACGAAAAGTACTTTTTCTATGAGATGTTTATTCCATAAACATACGTTATCTATATATAAAGCTATCAAATATAAGCAATACCATTGTTGTTTAGAGTCAATATTTAGAGGCGCCCCCAAACAAAACTTTTTTTAATACCAAATTTTCTCCTAAATTATTTGTTCGCCGTGCATGATATTTATACTATATATAATCACTACACGAAAAAACTGAACATAAGCTACAATATTATTAGTCAGTTTCAATATTTAGGTTTGCCACTATATATATGTAAGTATTGTTAAAATTTACATGCATGATATCTATATGTTATCTTTATTTAATACCATGTTTCCTCTGCTCATTAAGACCGCTAATGAGGAAAATTTACCATACAAAGAGATTTCACATATAAATAAGCTTATTATAAACGTATCAACTGATTTAAGGCGAAAAATGTCGAATGTAACCCTTATAAATAAATTTCCAATAAGAGAAATTAGCAAAATTTAAAATAATTGTCATATGTTTATATATATAAAATGTTAACAAATAAGCTATGCATAAATCAGTTTATGCCAATGTAAACAACCAAATCTTAACTTCATAATTTCAATATAAGTAGTTTTAGATGCAGTGGAAGCACGATATAAAACTACCGAACATAGACTATAACACTTTTATTTCATACGAATATTGAAGATCGCCAACTTGATCGCCATTAATTCAGGACTATTTAAGTCAAATTTCAATTATTTAATAAGGAACAGAAACGCATATCAAGGTCGTGAGGAAACGAGAAAGAAAGTGTAGACAAATACATATATCCTTTCCAACTTATTCAGTATAAATGTGATATACGATCACTTGAATCAAGGAAGCTTGAAAATTGTATTAAGATGAATTTTCAGATTTTAAAACTTATTGTTAGTCTCATTGTAAGAGAAGATACAATAAATAAATATATATGTATTTGAAAAAAAAAGTTTTCTTATTACTAACTGGCTTTTATCTGAGCTAGAGAAGACTACTGAATCAGAAGCTTCTACCCCTGTCTGATATCAGTGTATTTTTAACGAGAGAGATTTATTCCAAAGGCTGAGTGTCTCCTGTTTAGTTAGTGCCAACTCTTAAAACAACAGATCTACTATGATTATACTACTCCCGTTTACTAGAAGTCCAGAACCCAAATAACTTCTAAGTAACCCCTTTATCTTAACATAAATATAATAAAGCTTGGTATATCAAAATCTTTGCAATTTAACAATATTATATACACTTTCTTATAAGATTAGATTAAAACTTAACAGCAAGTATTGTTTTCATCTCCATATAAATGGCGAATGATTAATAGATTATTGTAACTATAACGAAATTCTAGTCACCCATTATTTGTTAGTAGTAACTTAATGTTCTTGAACGTTTTAAAAATTTAATTAGCTTTTTAATATTTACATTTTATAATATGTTTGGTTATAACATAGATCTCAAGGATTTAAGTTAAATGTCCTATAGTATCTTAAAAGTAAATATATTTAATAAACGTTGTGCACGTCCTTACAGTGCGTACTTTTCCATGTTCCTCATAGTTGCAGCAATTGTATTTAAACGGAATAATGTTAAACTAAAAAACTGCAGTGACTTGTCTGCATACCATAAACTAACCCGTCCGCATAAAACTATTTACAAGGCATCACAATGAGATCACACTACACTTTCATATATACTTGTGACTAACGAGTGTTCAGTTGTCTATATATCGTAAAAGTCTCGCGCCACGTACTTAATTGTTCTATAAAGAGAGATTCCAACAATTATTTGTATAATGCTAGTGATGGTATTCCCAGCTCAATCCTCTAAAATCGTACTAGCACATATTTACACTGAACTCAAAACTTCAAAACATTTGAAATGTCTAATAGTTTAAATATATTCCTATGTAGTTTGTAGGAACAACTAACTAAACGACACTACACATATATTATTTCGTAATTCTTTGTACAAAATATCTTCCCATTCATATTGGTTATTAGGGACGTGTGCGAGTGAGGCTAAGGTCGTGTGCGAGTTAGGCTAAGTTGCGTTCTAAATGAGGGAAATTCTAAGTTGTGCCGATAATGTAGTGATGTCTCGATACGTGTTGATAAATAGCTAAATGTGTGCAGTACAAAAAAACCCAAAAAATCTCCCATTTTGTTTAGCATCAACTAAACTCTTAGTAACTCTTCTAAACTATTCAATCAAGTGATGTAATTATAACTAAATAAATTTGCATTTTGTAAATTTATAGCTACTACATTACAACCTAACCATCTTTCCATATTTATTACCGTAAATCAATATATGGATAAATACGTTTAATAACGAAACCCAAATTTTTCAGAAGTTAGAGAGCAAAAGGTGTTTCTAGAAATATATTCTTAACCATATTAATGATTAGTCAATAACAATTTTATTTTTATATTTTTCAAAGAAAATTTATAACATTATAAGAGCAAGAGAAACTATCAATGATTTGCGCCAAAATAGTTCAACACAGCTGCACAATCTTTGCAGTGCATAACGTTTTAAGGGAAAGTTTTAACATATGTTTTTAACCAGTAAGGAAGGAACTAAGGGTGATTGTGTGTTTGTGCTAGTTATATAATTGAATGGAGGTCCTTTCAACCAGCCAACATTATGGACAGACAGCAGAAAGAATATTTAACAAAGTAACTTTGTAACAATTTTAGTAGTTGTGTGATTAGAAGAAACTCATGCGAGTCAATGTTTAGAATATACCGCATGAAATAATGTCAATTTTTTTAGTTACTTAAGCTTCAGCTTAAATCTTATTATACCATAAGTTGTTATCAAGTTTCAATATGATGCAGAATATTCTCACAAATGCAACGAATTTACATTTTACAAGTAAGAAGTAATATTAGAAAACTATGATAGTAAAAACTTTAATTGGTTATAATACCTAAGAATTGTTTACGTTGTCATATAAATTTCATAAAATTTAACAGCATTCTGGAAACTATATATGTTATGCTAGTCACACAAACAGAAAAGATAACATGGCTACAGTATTCAATTTCAATGGTAACCCATAACTCAATTATATCTAATAGTTTCTAATTTTTTACCTTATTTTAAATATGACTTTTCCAAAGCATATCTAATACACTGAATTTTAACAAACAGATCTGAAGTAGATTTTATGTCAGGTCAGGTTTCAGATGTGGCAGGATTTCCCAGACACGCCGATTTAAAAACAGATTTCTGTGCAGTCAGCTGTTTTTAACAATCTTTTATATAGCTTACTTCTCGATTAGTTCCAAGAACGGTGGGGTCTATGTCCCGGAGTAACTCGTCATATTCGCAAACCAAATACCATTCGTCACACTCAAAATTGACTATACAAACAGATCCCTGCAAGTCACAACAACAATAACTAGAACATCTTGATATCAAGCGCTAAATAGTGCGTCTATTTGTTGTTGATCAACTTTAAAACCCAATGTCTCGAAAACTAAGCTGTATGACATACAGCATAGTGGAAGAAGTAGCTCAAAATTGCTGTCCTTACTAAAATCCAAATAGCCAAATACGCTTGCTCGGGAAATCGGAATCGTGCGAATATTACGTATAAAAAATAAAATACTGGCATTTCAGTTTTACTTGACTTGTTACTTGACTATTACACCAAATATAATACTTTGAGAGTAACACTCCAATAGGAGTGATTGTAATTCGTTCAGATATCCTGATAGCGGAAACTTGAATGAATTACAAGAAAAATACACACGTTGGTATGGGAAAAAAGTTGCTAAAATATGTGAGGCTTTAGAGGCGAGAAGCATGGGTGGAAGCTAGCCATTTCAAAAAATATCGTGCATTAGAAATTGACGTTGGCAGTGTTTTCTTATAAATTGAATGAAAGTTCTTAACGTGTGAATAATTATAATACAATCTATCTATATGTCATATTTAATAATAATATTATAATATTTAATAATAATATATAAAGTTTTCACTATATTTTAATTATTTATACTCACTTCATTAGGTGCGTTGGTACAGATGATACGAATAGGATAAAAATAATATTGCGCATTTCATCGGATTGAGCATAGCATTTATGATAATCTGAACACATAGTTTGTTCCATTATTTTTGGCTGTAGTGTAGCACCATTTTCTAAAAATGCTTCTGATTCCAATGTTTGTTCAAAGAACTTCTTTAATATATCAAAACGTTGGCCGCCACCAGTGCGTTTACTTGCTGCATGTTGGTGTAAATTTCGTGTAAAAACACATTTGTGCGTATTTGTATTAACTAGCAATATTGCTACTATATTAGCATCGACTTCAATGGTATCTGGAATACTGCGTGCTACGCAACGATCCACATTTTGTAATAATGTAGTTTCAGTTCGAAACATATTTTGCGCCATTGTATGCAACTCTCTGTATGAAGGTTCTGCACCACAAATAACACAAAGCACACAGTTTGGTGCGATTGGTATGCTCACAAATCTATATGCAACCTTAAAAGAGTAAGAATTTTTATAAATTAATTTTAAAATTTCTAAATTTTTAATCTACACACATTTGGACTCTTCTTTGGCAAATACACAGGCACATCGTTTTGCATTGTACTTGATGAATTTAATAATAACAGAAGTAATTCTCTATCTATTGGATCTAAATCCCACCAGCCTTCAGTACCAACAATTATGTTTTGGCCAACTGTTAAACTGCAAAACAGTGAACCGCATTGATTACTAAAGTCATTCAAACGCTGCAAAAGTGCTGCATTCTCTGTAGCTAGAACACAGTTAGTATAACCCAAAATCTGAGTATTATTCGCTTCCAACGCCGCATCAACTATAGGCATATAATTCTTAGCTTCTTTTTTCATTCGTTCTAATAATGCTGGATGTGCTAGCTCATCCTGGCTAATAAACAATGCAAATGCACTAAATACCAATTCTGACAAATACTGTAACGCATTCTCGGACATATCGCGCCCACATACAATTATTGTAATCACATTCTGAAAGTCGCGCCACACATATATCCAATCTTCTGTGTATGTTGTTTGCAATGTAACACCAAGTGATTTAAAAAACATATGAAATCCATTCAGTGAGGCCACTGTAGAAAAGGGCAGCTAATATGAAATTAATAAGAATATTTTCATTACGAAACGATTTAGAAAATATTAAAATATGTCACTTACATTATCACATTCGCCCTTTTTACGTGTGAATATTGGTAAACCTCCATTTGTGGTTAGACATAACAAATGAAGTGACATATTTACGAAATATTTTGGAGCTGCCAACTTTCATACGAAATGGGGCTAAAGTAATGGGAGCTACCAATCATTTATCGATAACTATGAAAATGTTAAACAAAATAAAACAAAAAAATTCCTATCTTAATTGTTCCCAAAAAAAAATTTCCCAATTTTGACATGTTTTACTGCAATAGTTGATATATATGTATATGTGTAATAATTGTTTATAAATAAATTTATATCAATAATATGATCAATATAATAATATATTAATATATATTATATCAATATAATAATATAATTGGTTTACATATTTATCAATATTATTTAAATTAATATTTTTTTATTAAAATATTAAAATGTCTTTCACTCATTAAGCACTTTCCTAAATTTCATTGACATAGTTATATTCTATGTATATGTATATTTTATTATAATATATGTATGTATTTATTACTCAGTGTATCTTTTTTTTTTAAAGAATAAAAATATTTACAATTTTCTAACTATTAACTATAACTATACTATAACTATAATAATTAATATCAATAATTATTAGAGATGTGAATAAAAGAATTCTAGGCAATATACAATAAATTTAGGGAGAAAATTTCATTAAATTTAAAACCTTACTGACCTTCTGCATTGACAAATACACATTATCGAGTTTTGTTCTCAAACAAAAATTTGTAACGTGGTGTCTACACTGGCTAAGCATGGCTCTTAGTGAAAATTTGAGAGGAGTAGCAAAAATCATGCTAAAGTCTAGATAATTATTATCATTTGCCTTTTATTGTAAAAGACACAAATAATTGCTATTTTTATCTTAGGATCATGGTATGTAGAGTGTCATGGGCAACATTGTTGTTGTTTTCAATGCAAATTATAAAATCGAGAATAAGAAAAAAGAATAGTCGGTTCAAATTTGGTCATAACTCTGCTTAGGCAAAGCAGAGTTATTATGTAATAAATGTGAACATTTGTGTCTTTTAGAAGCAAATTATTACAATTTCTGTGACATTCGACATAACATGTGTTTTCGTCAATGCCCAAAAAAGAGAATTTCGACGAGCCCATGACACTCTACATAATCTGGCCTTACAGAAAAAACTAGTGAGCGGACCATCTTTATTTGTTTATGCATTTCCTTTGTAAATAGAAACAAACATAAATCAAATGGTTTATCAACTCTAGAGCATTCGCTACATTACACCTTATGGGAAAAATATTCATATTTTAAATTCAAATCGGACATTTGCAAACATTGTCGTTGCACTTGGTTTATAGTCACTTTTATTGGAATGAGTGGTGTTCGTAGAATTACTGTGTCTTCGCTTTACAATCAGATTTGTTAGATATTTTTAACTACTGTTCGTGTACCATCGCATTGTTTTGGTTATTTGATATTACGGAACAATATAATTGGGACTTAAATTGATTCCAACGGGAGCTAAGAAATCACATTAAAAAATTCACCACTTCATTTTGACACATCAAGTATTCGAATGATTTTGTTTCAGCTATATTAGCAAAAAGTGAATTCTTGACAGCAGTTGTCAAAAAATGTATTATTTATCTAATTGTATATATTCTAAATATTTTAAAATAAATAAGTGAACTTTTAATGTGTGTAAGTAAAGAAATGAACTTAATATAACAATTTGTTAGATGTAGTTTTTTTTTATTAAATAAAAAAGTTTAATTTTAAAAGACGAAAGAAGAAACGCATCAAATCACTAGAATTCTTTTTCTCTTTCACTGTATGAAACAAACAACAATTTTGATTGTTGCGTTTTCCAGTTTTATTACCAATAGATCAAAATTTATCCAAGTAGCTGCGGTACGGTACAATCTTACGCTTTGTGGTAACGATATAATCAAGGTAACACTATCAAATGAGATACGAAACGGTTTTGTCCAGGTATCTTGTGCTTTATATTCGTTCATATTTGGGCATTCCTTCAAACAGTTGACAGATTTATATCATTTATATCATTAAGCAGTGCAGTGTAAACGGTAATTTGTTTAAGCTAGAGAAATAAATTCAACTTATGCATGTAGTTACCAAATATTTGCAGACATCAGCAATATGTAGCATATGAAATCACACAAAGTATTGCAAGAATGTCGTTCACTTTTGTTATAATATATTTTTCTATAAAATTATTCCCGCATAAACTTTTTACAATATATAAACTATTAATAAATACAAAATAAAATTAAATTATTATTAAATAATTATTAAAACATTTTTATAACGAATAGATGTTTTTTAAAATAATTTTACTTACCTACATCTCTGGTTTTCATTTTATATATTACAATTAAAAATAAATTTTTTATATTATTGATTTTCCAAAATACTACTTACACATATTAAATTAAATATATATATGTTGAGATTATCGAAAGTGATAAATCATAGAATATAATTTAAAATTTTTAACTAGCATTCCTAGCATTAAACAAGAATTTTTATTAACATAGCGATTGAAAGGAGAGCCTTGCACGAAAATCTTCTAGTGCTTTTTTGTTGAGATCATACATTATTTCATTTTCATATTCTTCTACATAAATTTAAAAAAACACGTGGTACTCACTTGATTGTATTTGGGTCCGATGATGATCATTTAAATATGTGGAATATGTAACAAAATAATTATAATAATAATAATTATTAATAAAATGCTTATTATTGTATTAGTATTGATCTCATTTTATTGTGCAATTGAAACAAAATAATAATTTTGCAACACATTTATATATTTTTTTTAAAAGCACATGCGAAAATGCAACTCAGAAAAATTTCCCTAAGAGTTGTTTGTTTTTTTTTTTGAATGTTTAAAATTAGCGTTTTGATCGTTTACTGTACATTTAACATAAAATTAACATAAAACTTTATATAAAAATAATATTGTTCAAAATTTTGACATTATAGGAAATGTTTTTTTAGAAGTTTAATATATATAAAATCTTAAATATTTATTTACATTCAATATAAAAATCTTGTCAAAGTTTAGTTAGATTTTGGTAAGATTTTTGCATACACTCACATTTTTGCATTAACACATAATTGATGCAAAGTTCTTAACAAAGTCCTTAATATCAAAGCCCTTCTATGATTTCTAAAGAGAGCATCTGAGAGAGTGTAACATCTCTGTAGAAATTTTAAAATGATATACAGTCTTTACTCAAACTTTTTCTTTCAAGTAAAACTTGTGTTGATGATGTGAATCAGCTGTTTGAATTTAAAGTAAAAAGAGTTCTTAAATTTTAATTGTATTAATTGTAATACATAAATTAATAGTAAAATACATAAAAAAATGTAAAATAAATATTTTGTTAAGTGAACTAAATAATACAACACAGTCAGAATATAAAATCATTAATATACTTTGGCATAGTGACTCTGATAATGATTTAGAATTGCTGCATTCATTTTTAAAGGAAATTATAAAAGAAAAAGAAAACGAAAATATGTAAAAAATTACATACAAGATGTTGTTTGGAAATATAACGACAAGGAATACAAAAGTCATTTTCGCATCTCGCGGAGCTTTTTTAATTCTTTATTTATAAAATTTCCCCCTTCAGCAACAAACCGTTGCGATGTCACATTAAGAAATTTATCATCTTTAAAAAAATTCGTTAAGTTCTTGCGATTTACAATGTGTAAATATAATTTCTTATCATTTTGCAATTGCAGAAAAGTTGTTGGTGAATATGGTACAACAATTTCTCTTCCCTTCATTATATCTATAATAATAACATAAAACAAAATTTTTATATAATAAATTTAATTACAAACAGTACTCTAATTTACTTTTTTAAATAAAAAGTATATAAAAATATTTGCACTTATTACTATAAAATTTATTTTGTTTTTCAAAATTTCTTTCACGCTCTTATTTTTTAACTTTTATATCTGTTGTGTTTTTCAAAAAATAGCTTTTATGACCAGATTTTACACAAAGCTGTTCCATGTAAATTTATTTGTGTTATACTGGACTCGCACGAGAGTTTTGTTTATAATTTTAGCTATCAAAACTTTTTAATTGGCATTTACAATAACAACAATTGACAGCTAAAATTACAAACAAATCTACCGCGTGAATCTAGTACTACGCTCTTGGCTTATACTTTATTTCCGTCTTACCCGAGTTTCATTACGAGTAGCTTATGGAACAGATCTAATTTATATTACATTTTATATTCAAATGACATTATTTTTATTGTTAAAAATTATGTTTAAATAAAAATATTCGATACAGATTATAAATCTTAACATATTGTTTTTTTTTTATTTTGGTTACATATATTAAAAAAGACAATATATCAATATATATTTATGTATTGTAATGAATGATTTTTTATTGTAAACAAAAAAAAATATTTCACCATTATACTACTAAAATTTGTAATTATATGTATTAAAAAAATAAATACATTAATATTTATATATTGTACTGAATGATATTTCTTTTATACATAAAAAACTATTTCTCCATTTTAATATGAAAATTTGAAACATATTTGAGAATTCACGTATTTAAATTTATTTAGATGTCATTATGTTTTGGTATAGATTGTAAGCTGGTATTTAAAAAAAATAGTACGTTAGATATCTTTGAAGTTTCATATTTTTTTACATTTTGCTTGCTGTATATTTTTCCATAAGATGGCGTTACTTTCGTTTGAAAGTGTTTGGAAAATTAAAATATTATTATAAATGTAATTAAATATTTTATATAATTATAAAAATTTGTTTTATGAAATTATTGTAAATTATACTTATAAGATATTAAAAATTTGTGTTTTGAACTTGTATCAAAAATGTATTTAAAGACTTTTTTGAGTTTAAAACTGCTTGTCTGCTTCTTCCTTCATTCTCAGAAACATATATCAAAAAACAAAAAATAGGGAAATTTTGTTTTTGTATTTGCGCATGATCAAGAGGACGCTGCTGCTGCTTCACTGCTGTTATGTTAAAAGAAATTCACATCACAGCACAAAAAAAAAACTGCGAAATTTTCTTAAATATATTTTGTGCGAGTTTTGCCGCTGCAGTTTTAACATAAATACAAGAAAATATTTATAAAAACAAAGCAAAAATTGATTTGCTCAGTTTTTATGAAGGTGTACGCATCAATCGGCACTATTTTTATTAAAATTATTCAAATTGAAGTTAGCCGAAATATACTTTTTAATTCTTCTGTCTTCTGTTTCTCATTTCAATAAAATTCGAGTCGGTGCGAACGAGTTCAAAAAGAACAATTGGGCCGTCTTGGTAAGTACACATGCGAGTTAATTGCATCAAATCCCGCAATTCCCGCAATTTTTGTTTGCAAATCTGCGTTAAATGTGAGCACACAAATGTGTTATTATTCTAAGGAAATTTTGCTGCAAGGGGAATGCTGTTGCGAAAGTAGCCGCCAAAAATGTGCAAGGGTTATAATGTAGTGATGGAATTGTAAATAATTGTGTGCTAGTGCTTGATGAAAATAGTTCTAGGTGAAGTTAGCGCCTTACGGCCGAAATATTTAATATCGAAGTGGCGCAGTTAATGCCTCTAAATTCAATAACTAATAATAATGCATGCAGCACAAGTTTTGTGTACTAAGAACGCATGCTAGCACGCGTTTGCTTTGGAATTGTCAAAATTTGTGTAAAAATACCGGCAAAAAAATCATATTAAATTATTTCAATTAAAGTTAAAATATTTGTAGAAAAAAATAAAAATAGCATTTATAATTTAATTTTTGTTTTTTGCAGTTTTTGCAATAATTAGCGGTGAGACGTATACAACTGCAATTTCAGCATTTGAGCATTTGAACATTTGACAGATTATTCGGTTTTGGTTTTGGTTTTGTATTCAAAAAATATATTAACGTTGCTGCTGAAATATTGAAATATTGAGGCTAACAACGTCGCTTTTACTGCTGGAAAATGGCGATGCTCTCGACGGAGGAAGCCAGCAAGTTGTTGGATTTTTCGCAGAAGCTTGACATAAACTTGCTGGATAAAATTGTTGAATGTTTGTATAGTTCTCAAGGTGAGCAGTTGCGTCTAGCGCAGGACATATTAACCACTCTTAAAGAGCATCCAGATGCTTGGACACGTGTCGATAGTATCCTGGAGTTCTCTCAAAACCAACAAACAAAGTTTTATGCACTACAAATTCTTGAAGAAGTCATCAAAACGCGTTGGAAAATATTACCGCGCAACCAGTGTGAAGGCATTAAAAAGTATGTTGTTGGTTTAATCATAAAGACCTCATCAGATGCTGAAGTGATGGAGGCAAATAAAGTTTATCTGAATAAGTTAAATGTAATTTTAGTGCAAATATTGAAGCGCGAATGGCCGCGCAATTGGGAAACTTTCATTAGTGACATTGTCGGTGCTTCAAAAACTAACGAGAGTTTGTGTAAGAATAACATGGTTATCTTGAAGAACCTGAGTGAAGAAGTGTTTGATTTTTCTGCTGGGCAAATAACCCAAACTAAAGCAAAACATCTAAAGGATACGATGTGTTTAGAATTTTCTCAAATTTTCCAGTTGTGCTCATTTGTTTTGGAAAGTTCAATGAATGCCCCACTTATACATGTCACACTGGAGACTTTACTGAGGTTTCTTAATTGGATACCGCTCGGTTACATATTTGAAACGACGCTGATTGAGATATTAATATTTAAGTTTTTAAGTGTACCAATGTTTCGTAATGTTACTCTTAAGTGTCTGTCTGAAATTGCGGGTCTTACCGTACCCGATTACAACGAGAATTTCGCTACCCTATTCCGAGATACTATGACGCAATTGAATCAAATGATTGGCCAAACAAATAACATGAGCCATATTTATGCAAATGGTTCCGATACTGAACAAGAGTTCGTTCAAAATTTAGCAATGTTTTTGTGCACATTCCTGAAAGAACATGGAAAGCTTGTTGAAGATACACGTCATGTTGAGTTTCTTAATCAAGCATTGCTGTATTTAGTTCTGATTTCAGAAGTTGAAGATGTGGAGGTCTTCAAAATTTGCCTCGAATATTGGAATAGTTTAGTAGATGATCTGTATAACAGCGAAACATTCAGTGATGCTTTATCCACTGGTAAACGTGGCACTCTACGGCGACGTAATTTTTATGCTCATATATTAACGAAAGTCCGTTTCATCATGATATCACGCATGGCCAAACCCGAAGAGGTGCTTGTAGTGGAAAATGAAAATGGTGAAGTTGTACGTGAATTCATGAAGGATACCAACGCTATCAACCTGTATAAGAATATGCGTGAGACTTTGGTGTTCTTAACTCACTTGGATTACGCGGACACTGAACGTATCATGACTTTGAAGCTATTAAATCAAGTTAATGGTACGGAGTTCTCATGGAAAAATCTAAACACACTTTGCTGGGCGATTGGCTCAATATCTGGTAAGTGAAAAATAATGTTTTTCTAATTTATGTTTATTTATTTAGAATTGCTGTGTGGATTATGACTGTTTCATATACAGTAAAAATAGATACGAAAACATACTGTTCTATACGGTATGTTTTGTTTTAAGTTCAAACTGAAACCGTCATGTATTATGATGCATAAACAAACACTTCGTAAGTGTTTATAAAGTGGAATAAATACGCTTTATGTCATAAAATAAAAATATTCATTTAATTATCATTTAACTTATGATATAAAATTAGATGGACTTATGCTCAATTCTTAGTAACTTAAACGCTAAAATTTCTTTATAATAATTTTATTCAAATTGGAATTCAATCATTGCAAATAAGAAATAACTATTTTGTTAATATATAAAACAAAAACAATAAAATAACAACAACATATAAATATAATTTCATAAGAGTTGAATTTTAATCATTTGCGATAAGAAAATAACTATTTCATTATTATAAAATTTATAAATAACAATATATAAAAATAAAAAATAATAAATAAATAATAATAATTTTATTAGAATAAAAATTTAATCATTTAAAACAAGAAAAGAACTATTATTGATATATGTATAAAAAAAACATTTTGTAAAATAAAAACAATTCAATAAATAATAATTTTATTAGATTTAAAATTTTATTATTTTAAATGAGAATACTTTTATTAATATATAAAAAAGAAATTAATAAAATAACAACAATATACAAATATTATTAAAATAAAAAATAAAATTATTTTATAAATATTCTCCTGAGTCATCATATAATAATATAATTAAATATAAAAGTTTAATACAATAAGAAAATTGTTATATTATATTAAATTATCATTTTACTATTATATGAAAATAATTATTTTATTAATATATAAAAGTAATCAATTTATTAAGATAGAAACTTTATTCATTTAAAATTGTAATAAATTTTATGAAAATATAAAATAATACATACAAAAAATAATTCTATTAATACATAAAAATTTTTATTGAATTCAATACAATTACAAATTTGAATTCAAATATACAAAAAATAATTTTAAAAAAATATTCAAAACCTCTCTATTAAAACATAAAATAATTTTATTAACATAGAAAATAAATATTTTATTCATATGTTAAAATAAATATTTTATTAAAATAAAATATATAAAATAAAATAAATAATATATATATATATTATTCATATATGAACTCCAAGATTTTAGAATGGTATTGTTATTTATAATGCTTACTACAATGAGCTAATACTCTAGTTAAACAGACAAGAAGCCCAATTTGTATTTGATTGGACATGTACTAGAACTCTACATCTCGTTAAACGAACTAGGTGTAATTCTAAATAGAAAATTCAATTGGTCCAAAAATATAGACAATAAGAAGTAAAAAACTGCTTATCGCAATCTGCATCTTTAAATATGGTAAAGATGTATTGGCAATATTAATTTACGATGTAGTCGTTTGGTAGCCTTCAATTGAAAGGAAAAGATAAGCTGTAAGATTAAATCAAAGCCGAAGTAGTCTGTGTTTTAATTACAAAATGCTTGACGTCAACGTTAAAAGTCCTATAAATTTTTCTTTTTCCAATCAAGTTAATAGGTTTCGGATGAACTGTCAAAGCAATAATTAAAACAAGCTATATTAAAGATTAGAAATCATACGCAGTCCACTAATATCCTTAAGAAAGTAATTTAAGGCAATAAGTACATAGAATTACACCTAGTCACATTCAATTTGCCCATCAAATAAATAAGTTTTTTGTCTACTTTTTACTTTTCATTCAAAAATCTAAATACACAGTTTTATTTGTTATTGTATTAGCTATTATAAAAAAACAACCCGTTCTTCATAACGGGTTAATTAATTCACACAAATAATAAAATATTGCGAAATGCGGTTGTGCAGAACAATAGCAACTTTATTTATTATATTAAATTTTTGTATTATTTTTCTAAATTTTGTATAAAGCCCTTTGCTTTTTATTACTTGGGCACTTCTACGGGTCATAGGCGATATTAAATTGTTAATAAAACTATTTGGAATTTTATACCATTCATCTTTCATGACCTCAAACATTTGGAAACTTTTCGACCCCCAAAGCGAGGTTTGAGAATACTAAAATGTTCTCAATTGAATTAAAATCAGGTGTTTGGGCTGGCTAATCTAAAATTGGAATTCCATTTTTCAAAATCCATTCTCTTATCAGCTTTAAGGTGTGTTTTTGGTCGTTATCGTACTGATATACCCGTCGGAGTGACATTTTTCATCCGCCATGGGGTACCATATGGCTCTCTAAAATTTTTTTGTACACATGTTCTGCTATTATTTGATGAATTTCATGAAAAGATCTTAGTCTAAATCCTGAAAAGAACGCTCAAATTATTACTGACCCACGCCCATGCTTCACAGTCGCTTGGCAGTTACGCGGATACAAACGTTTTTCTTTTTCGCGACGTACTGTGCACATCCCATCAGAATTAAAGATGTTAAATTTTGATTTATTGCTGAAAAAAATTTTTTTCCATTTAGTAAGAGTCTAATTTAAGTGATTTCATGCGAAATTTGATCTAAATGAAGTATATTAATATTAATTAAAAAGCAAAACAAAAATCTGCCTCTTTTGCTAATGCTTTTTAGTCAACATTGGTTTTTTGACTGGTCTGTAACTTTTGAAACCGGCTTCGAAAGTAAGCCTGCGTACAGTACTAGAGTCAACACCTTGTTTAAGCTCGGCTACGACCTTTTTCAACGACACGAATGGTTGTTTTTTTTGTAATTCTTATGATGTTTCGATCAATTCTACAAGTAATCTTAAGAGAGGCTTCACCCAAATAAACCGTTTTAACGGTATTTTGTCTAATTATATTTTTTTATAAGCTGCGAAACAATAAACTAATTAATTTTAAATATTTTGGCTATTTCATTTGAGCACTGCCATTTAAATATTTTTCAATTCTTGCTTCTTTAAACTTCAAAGTATACGTGTCACGAGCCATGATAAAAACGTACTTCCATTACCTGATTTAATATTGAACTATTCTGTGTTTATGTTCTAATTTGCTTAAAAACATTAATCACAGCATAAAAATGCAAAAAATCAAAAAAATATCTTGCTAGAATGCACTTTGGTCATAGATCTATCATTGATCTTGTCTCAGTTGCTATTGTTTTGCACAGCCGCATTTCGCAATATTTTATTATTTGTGTGAATTAATTAACCCGTTATGAAGAATTGTAGATTTTGTTGTTTTTTTATAATAGCTAATACAATAACAAATAAAACTGTGTATTTAGATTTTTAAATGAAAAGTAAAAAGTAGACAAAAAATTTATTTATTTGATAGGCAAATTTTAGTTGCTATTGTTATGCACAACACTGTATATTAATTATATTACATAATATAATTTTATATGTATTTTTTTAAAGAATAAAATATTATATATATTATATTAATTATATTATATTATATATATTATATTTTATATATTATATTATATATATTATATTATATATATTATATTATATATATTATATTATATATATTATTATACATATTATATTATATATATTATATTATATGTATTATATTATGTATATTATATTATATTTATTATATTATATATATTATATCATATATATTATATTATGTAGTAAATTTTATGTATATTATATATATATTCTATATACAAAACTTTTTCTTATTACAATTATTAATTAATTGTCGTATATAATCGATAAAAATTAAAATAAGTTTCAAAAATTCTTAGCTTTATTATTGTTATATGAATTTATTAATTTATTTTTTATAATTCTATTAGTATAGTATATATAGTATGGTATATATAGTATGGTATATATAGTATAGTATATATCATTATTTCATATCTATGTTAATAATATGTATAATTTTATTTATAACATATTCGTGTTTAAATGAATAATTTTCATAAAAATAAAATTTTTTTCTTTCGAAATAAACGAGTTACTATACTTAAATAATCATTCTTTCAATAATAAAAATATTTTCAGAGAGGTTTCGAACAGTAGTGAACTACAAGAACAAATTGCCAAATACCCATCATCAGTGGTCTTGGAATTATTTCTTATATTTAGTTATTCGTAAATAATTTTTTGAGATTGCAACAGCTATAGTATGGTTAGCCAAAATTTCAATTAATTAAAATAATAAAAATTTTGTTGTTGTAATTCACTACTATTCGATAAAAACCTCTATTGAAAACAATAGTTTATATTAAGAACCTAGTTTCTCTCGTCGTAAAGGACGTTAAAAATCAATTTCATAATAAATTAATTTATAATCATTTTTAAGCTTAATTATTTTGATTAAATTAACAAAAAAAAAATAAATAAAAATAAAAGTGTTAACATTATCAGTAATAATATTAATATATAATTTTATGATTCTTTTGGATATGGTGTGATATAATTTTGATTACATTTTTTTTTTATATATTATATATTTATAAATATATATTTTATATTCAATTATATTATAAAATTTTAAAAATAAAACTATTATTAATGTAAAAATATTTTCATATCATTATTATAACAACAAAAAAAAATGTTAAAATAAAATTAATCGATTTTAATTTCGAATTATTTATTCCTAAAAAATAAATAGCAATTATTTTATTAATGATAATAATTTATATATATATATAATATATATATATATATATATATATATAGATATATGAAAAATTTATCGAATATGAAAATTTATTTATATAACTAATATTGTTGTAAATTTGCATTTAAATTATTTTACCGAACTATAGATAGTAGAGATGATAATTTAAGAAAAAAACTGAGCGCATTACCGCAACAACAACTACATATTATAGGAGCTTTATACTATATATACGTTATACTAACTATGTAGTCGACCAGTTCATATTTTTTATTTTAATTTAACTCGTTTAATTTTTATTAAATAAATGCACTATTATAATGTAAACGTAAGAATTTAGAATAAATTAATAAAGAGATAATGCAAAATTATGATTTTGCTGAAAATGCAATAATGTTGAAAATAAATAAATATAACATATATATAAATATTTTCATATATATATGTTTATATACCATATAAATATTTTTATTAAATAAATATTTTTATTATTATAAATATTTTTATTATATAAATTTTTTTTACTACTATATTCTACTACTATTTTTTATATACTATATTCTACTATATACATATTTTTGTCATATATATATTTTTATTATCTTAATAATTTTATTATATAAATATATTTTACACATATATTTTTATTATATATATTTTTTTATTATATATATTTTTTTATTATATATATATACTTGTTATAACAACAGTTGAATAAAAATAAGTTATTATGCCGTCTGTTATTAATTTTTATGTAATACAACAAATTTAAAATGGAGTAAAAATAAAGCTAATAATATTACCATACCATTAAACATAACTAATTTATTAAAAAAAAAATATCTTTCTAGAAGTAAAAAAAAACTTCGAATATATAAATACATCTTATTATCTATAATATGTAGTTCGTGATCAAAAACTTCACTGAAATGCAAAAGCATTAAGTATTAAAAGTCCAAATCGGCTATATTTAAAGTTTTCGAGTCTATTCAGGTAATCAAGTGCCGGTCATTACTCCCAACAGGGACAATACTGGTGGATAAATGTTAAGTGTAACAACAACAATAAACCAACAAATAAAAATATTAAATAATTTGGACAAAATTGCCAATAATTCACATTAATCATAAAATCAGAGTCCGATTTAACAAAATATAATCAAAATTAAATTATAATAAATTTATTATATTTTTAATAATAATTATTAATTATAAATTATGCTGTAAATAATATAATTATAAGTTGTAATAACAGTAAAAGTTGATGAATAAATTGTAATAATTGATGACGACGAATCATTTGATGAATCAATTAAAATAAAAAAAATAAATTAAATTTAAAATGTTTTCATATAAAATTTAATAAAAATAATAAGTAAAAACAAAAAATATAAATATACAAAAATATATTTATTTAAACATTTAATTTAATTAATGGTATTATATTAAATGTTATATATTATAATTAACATTTTATTATTAAACATTTATATAAATTATTATTTATTTAAATTTGTTATATATAAAAAATTAATTTTTTTAAATAAAAATATTAGCCTTTAAACCAATATATATTTATTTAAAAACTTAATTTTTTATTAAACATTTATATAAATTATTATTTATTTAAATTTGTTATATATAAAAAATTAATTTTCTAAAATATAAATATTGGCCTTTAAACCAATATTCACATAGCAGCAAAAATGATCATATAAAAACCTTATTATTTGAAATAAAAATACAAAATTACAAAAGCAGTTGTATCAACAAATAATACAAACTTTTATCTAAAAAAAATATATCTGAACAAAAAACTAAAAACATGTAATTGTTAAAACTATTAATGAGTTTCATAATATAATAGTAAAATAATGTAAAATATTATTAAAGTATAAAGAAGTTTAGAATTTAAATATTGAAGGGCATATTTGTAGATTGCAAGCAAATTTTTTCAATTGATTCATTTACGTTGTGGTCTTATTGTGGTTTTGGAGGCCGTGTTACACTTACTTTAAAATTAGACGGGTAAACGTGAGGTCCAAGACCAAGTGCCGATAAAAAATCACATATTTTTCATACCGAGACAGTAACTGTTTGGAGATCACGGTTATTTCATAACATAATTCTAAACAGGCCGCTACTTGGAATTTTTGGGTATGATATATATCTCTCATGTGGTGTATAAAGTATCTTAACTCTTGGAAGTTACTTGTCATACATAAATACTATATACTTAATACTGCATAATACTGCTACTACTTTTTGTACTTCTAACGGGCAAACTTGAGCCCTATTGATTTATAGTAATGGCGTATATAGGTTTAAAGATTTCTTCACGTGGTGGCAAGTTAAGTTCAAAATATCCACTCATTTCTTTTCCCATTTATTTCGGGAAACTTTACGTTTCGTAAGGATTTTTTATTAAAAACGTAGAAGGTTTTTTTTTGTCTTCTTCCACCAAAAGATTGTAAGAGAATTAGAAATAGTTCATGAACATTAACTCACGTCATGTGAAGTGGGTATTAGGGAGGTGGGCTTGATAGTACTCCCTTAAGATTTTTTAATTAACCAATCTATAAGAACAATATTATCTGTTAAGCTCATTAGCGATATATATGCTTTAGTCATAAATTCGGAATATAATGTCATAAATCACCAACTCAACTACAATCATTGATATTTTTATCATGATGGGCCATGTATGATGGGTAAAAAGTATATATGGATCAGTAGGTCAGCACACGGGTGAAGCCATACTTTTTTTTATTATCATTATTCTCATAGGCTACTGATAAGTAAAATTTTGCTTCATTTCAATTTTAAATGAATATAGTTAAATCACTTTGTATGTTTAAAATTAATCACTACCATTAGTCATTAAAATATGGTATTTTTATTTGCTTTTATAAAATAACGTTGTGTTATTTTAAATGCCTTATGTGATTTGGTATTAGTTTCAATATAGAAAAAAAATATTATATAAATAAACAGTTTTGCACAATATATTTGTTTTAAAAACTGTGATTCTCGATAAAATGTGATTTTATTTATTGTGATTTATATATAACTATTTGTAAAAACTATAGCCATTCATATATGCATTATATTATTAACTTTGTTTGTTCTCGTGGATCACATTTAACTTCATACAATTAAAAAAGAATTTTAATATCATTTTTTTTTATATAGTTTTGTCGTTATTTCCTAATACAAGCCCTTCTTTATTTTGTTTTAAATGCAACATCATGGAGTTGAGAATTGAATGCAATATTTATTGGTTTTTAATTTAATGAAATTAATAATTAATATAATCCTTAATAAAACAGCAACACATGATCTCATATGGTTGGTAAAATTGACTTTTAAATTATGTAAGTAAAATACATAAATAGACGACGGATATATCAAATAAACATTGCTCAGGGGACTATCGCATTGCGATGTTTGGTTCTACGACCACAAATCGTTTCTTTCGAAATATAATTTTGTAGTTCCCTAAGAACAAAAACTGTTTATTTATTGTGTAATTTTTATTGTTTTTGGTTTAACCTGCCGGGGTCTGCTTGTGTGATCTCTTTGGGGGGACGTTAAACGACCACAAATCATTTCTTTCGAAACATAATTTTGTAGTTCCTTAAGCATAAAAATTGAAAGGTTAAATGGCACTTGGTCGTCTGGCTCTACGAGTGGCTCCGGGACGTATACTCGGCCGTTCGTGGAACCTCTAATTATCGTTAGTTTCTAACGCTATTGTATTAAATTTGCAATAATCAACTATAATAAATTTTAATACATAATTAATAATATTATTATCTAGTAAAGATGGAAAAAATTACTTTATATTCTTTGAAAATCAACAATAAACTTACTAATATTTAATTTAATTATATCTCCAATAGGTGCTTTTTGTGAAGACGATGAAAAACGTTTCTTAGTAACTGTTATTAAAGATCTATTGGGTCTTTGTGAACAAAAGAAAGGCAAGGACAACAAAGCGATTATTGCATCGAATATTATGTATGTTGTTGGTCAGTATCCACGTTTTTTGCGTGCCCATTGGAAATTTTTAAAAACTGTCGTCAATAAACTATTCGAATTTATGCACGAAACTCATGATGGCGTACAGGATATGGCTTGCGATACATTCATTAAAATTGCTATTAAATGTAGGCGCTATTTTGTTACTATACAACCAAATGAGGCGTGCACTTTCATCGATGAGATTCTAAGCACTATGAGCAGTATCATATGTGACTTACAACCGCAACAGGTATGAGAGTTTACAATGTAGTTCTTGTAATAATAAACATTTTTAACATTTGTATAATTTCACATTTTAGGTACATACATTTTATGAAGCTGTTGGTTATATGATTTCAGCACAGATTGACCAAATACAACAGGATGCTTTAATTGAAAAGTATATGTTCTTACCTAATCAAGTCTGGGATGAAATTATATCGCGTGCTTCAAAAAATGTCGATTTTTTGAAGAATATGACGGCTGTTAAACAGCTAGGTAGTATTTTAAAAACCAATGTGGCCGCTTGTAAAGCCTTAGGTCATGCTTATGTTATACAGTTGGGTCGTATATATTTGGACATGTTAAATGTTTATAAAATAACATCAGAGAATATAATACAAGCAATCGAATTAAATGGAGTTAATGTTAATAATCAACCACTCATAAAAGCAATGCATGTTGTAAAGAAAGAAACGCTAAATTTGATTTCTGAGTGGGTTTCTCGTTCTAATGACAATCAGCTGGTTATGGATAACTTTATACCGCCTTTATTGGATGCTGTGCTATTAGATTATCAGGTAAATGATATAGTAATAAGTATGCAATTGCAAATATTTTATATTTCATTTTATATTTAAAATAGCGTTGTAAAGTACCATCAGCAAGAGAACCAAAAGTACTTAGCTCGATGGCTGTTATTGTTCATAAAATGCGTAATCATATTACCAACGAGGTACCAAAAATATTTGATGCAGTTTTTGAATGTACGCTTGATATGATCAATAAAAATTTTGAAGACTACCCACAGCATCGTACTAGCTTTTATGAGTTGTTACAAGCTGTTAATGCCCATTGCTTTAAAGCATTTTTAAATATACCACCAAATCAATTTAAGCTTGTATTTGATTCCGTTGTTTGGGCATTTAAGCATACGATGCGTAATGTAGCAGATATGGGTCTTAATATTTTGTATAAGGTATGTATTAAATTATTTGTTTAAATGAAAAATTTTTAATTGTTTTTATTGTTTAATTAAGATGCTGCAAAATTTGGAACAACATCCACAAGCTGCGCAAAGTTTTTATCAGACTTATTTCACTGATATACTAATGCAAATCTTCTCTGTTGTAACTGATACATCGCACACAGCTGGTTTGGCAAATCATGCTATTATATTAGCGTATATGTTTTCATTAGTTGAAAATAATAAAATAACAGTGAGTCTTGGACCTATGGAGGATAATACTATTTTCATACAGGAATATGTAGCATCATTATTAAGATCAGCTTTTAGTCATTTAACTGATAACCAGATTAAGGTTTTTGTTACGGGTCTATTCAACCTTGACGAAAATGTACAAGCATTTAAAGAGCATTTGAGAGATTTCCTTATTCAAATTCGGGTATGTATAAAAAATAAAAGTGTTATTAATGTCACTACATGTAAGATAGTATATATAAAACCATTTCACAATTTTTTTTATAACGTAATTTATAAGGTAATTAACTTTTATAAGGTAATTCAAATTAATTTCGTAAAATTTTGGTATAGTTGTTGCAATTGTTTTTTGAGATTATATAGTTTACTAAGATTATAATTTTTTCTGAAAAGCTCAACAGCGAAAACTCTGTTAAACACATACTTTCATTAACTAGCACTTCTTCTAACTTTATCATATCATCTTACGTCCAAAATTTTCAATCAATTTTTCCATTAAACAGTTTTCTTAAGAGAGAAACGACAAAAGTAATAAAATTTCATTATCTTGTCAACTTCAAAGTAATTGCAAAAACTCAAAAAAACACTATACACAATTCTTGTTTTTGACAAACTGGAAATCAAATTTTGTTAAAATGATAGTGGAGCACTTCTTCCCCTTATCTTTATTCCAACGACATATTTCTCCAGCCTCTATTCCTTGTCTTGTAATTCACTCTAACATGAAAAGTAATGAGAGCAATTTTTTGGTGAATAGGTACTTCATATGAGTTTTTGTAGAAGCTTCTGCTAATACTTTTCGTGTTGACCGTATACGCGGCTGTTAAACCATTGCGATGTCCTGTTTATCTTATAGGACTTTTAATCTTAGGTATAAGTACTTGTAACTAAAATGCAAGTTGCATTCTTAAGTAAACATCAGATATTAAAAATTAACCCATTAAGTACCAGACAATTTCAGACTTGAAATTTTACGTTGAAATTTCTATAGTAAATATTAAAATAAAACAAATTTAAGTAAATGAAAGTAAACTCACTTTCTGTTTACCTAAAAAATATAAAATATTCTTTGAATTTTAAAAAATATTCATAACTAGCCGAGTACCACAAGGTGAACCGAAATGGGTTAATTCTGTCGGTAAAGTAGATTTTTCATTTATGTACTACAATATTGCCAATATTTCATGACATTCGAACAAAAAGTAATTATCAATAGAAGATGTTCTTACGTTTTACTTTTCGGTTTTACTGATCGTCACATATTTACAAGTAATTTCTTGGAAAATATTTTAAAATAAACTGTAGTACCTCAACTAACAAACCAAGACATCAAATTTATCTTACTGAATCGGGGAATGGTAATAAATGTATTTAACAATTAATAAACATAAGCAAAGAAGTAAGACCAATTAACTTGTAGTTTTTCGTTTTCGAGTCAAATTCACTTCCATAAAATTGTAATTGAAAGAATTTACTAAAATACTGAAAGCATTTATCTATACATTGCAATGACACCTTTTCGTTGTCATTGCCATTTGCTGGGGTAACCTCAGCCTTATCAGACTAAAATATTCAAAGACGTAGTTATTTTAGATTTTCTTTGTTTATACTTTATTGTTGATTATTATTAAGTTAATAATAATGATATAAAATTTTAAAATATGTGTAAAAACAAAAGGAATTTTAGTTATTTACTATCAAGCCATCCGAAGAGAAATAGTTGTCCTGGGAGTCCTTGGTGTGAGATTTTGTATGGATGTTCTACGGATTCTACTTCTGCCCCTTTTGTATAGTTATTCCATTATAAGTATATTGATTTTATGATTTATTTTTTAGGTAGTAGCCTTATACTTGAAAACTTCTATCATTCTTCTTTGCGTACTAAAAACGCGTTCACAGCAAAATTAAACTGGAATTTTTTATTAATATACCTTTAGCCTTTATCTTAGGCTTAATCATTTACTAAAAGACCTTTTCTTTTGATAAACTTTTATTGGTCTATGACAATATAGTGTTTTCCCACGATATGCTTGTAATGAATTCTATATTTGTTATCAGTTTTTCGATACAATTGTCAAAATCCCCATTGTGAAAAACATACATATACAGATTATTGTACTTTCGCTTTACTGCTTGACCATTTTCTAGATGTAAAGTATAAATGTATTTGGTTTTGGTGTCTTCGTCATCTTATTTGATATAATATCCAAATGAAACACCAATGTGTGTAAATTATCTACTGAAATGTTATGGTATATTTATTATAGACAATTTAGAGTAAAGACCACGTGCAAAAAGGTTACATATAGAAAAGCAATAAATTGATTTAAATGAATGTGAAATTGGAAAGGTTAATGGTCAATGCAATAAAAACAAATTAAGAATAAAAACTAATTAAAACAAAACAAATAGCAATCAAAGAAAGTAAAATATAATAAAAGTATTTGTCCCGCCTCTCCGAAGAAACTATTATAACAAATTGTTTATGGATTTTGTTTATTTTTCTTACTTTTATTTTATTTGAAAAGCATATTCTTGCCTATTTTAGTAAATATATTTCATCTAAATATATTATTTAGACTAATTTTAAACCATGTTTAAGTATAGTTTTTCACTTAAATAACCAGCCAATCGGACAGACGGACGGATAATCGTTGGTTTTAATATCTGAATAATTTATTTAAATTATTTAAATTTTAGTTAAAAAGTTTATTTTTATAAAACTATAATGATAATTCTTCATATGTTACAAATACGTACCTAAAGTTTCTCAAGGTACAAGTATATTTGTTGTGTCAAAAATAGACTAATCATTAGTAAAAATTTTCGCATATGTTGTTAATATGGCGTTTACACTGGCCGCAAATGACTGATTTGAAATCAGTCACTTGAAATTATTTACATTCGTTGTTATTCATTTGTTCTCATTTCAAACAGCTGTTTTGTCAACTTGCCTGTTAATTTGATTTTTGGCTTGTGCCAAAAAAATGTTGGATGAAGGTAAAATATACCTTCAAACCTTACAATATAAACTGAAAACTTATTTTTAGCTTTATTTATTTATTTTTATTTTTTTGGGAAGTAGAAATTCTAAAAAGAGATGCATCGTTTTTAAGGAAATGCAACCACCGAATATTTATTTACTTTTTTTTTAAATATGTCAAAAACAGCGTTGTCAAACTGTCAAAATGCCATTATGTTCAATGTGTTTATTTACATTTTGAATTCATTTAAAACTCTTTGGAACTCATTTATAAAACTCTTATATATTATAAGCAATTTATGCGAAAGTTTTGTCTATAAACAATAGTGTTTAATACATCAGTTTTTAATAGTTAAGTAAATTTATATAACTGCGATTTATGCATTATTTCTAAAAATTAAATAATGCAATTAAATAACAAAAATTGACAAAACTTTAATCGGAATATTGCAAATTAGCTGTATTGTACGTTAAGTTTGTGTGTCAGACATGAGTCCTCTGTTTAAATTTGCGTTCAATTCCTGACAAAAATTATATTCTAATATTTATATCCATTATAGTTATTTGGCGGTTTCCGATATAGCTAAGTGGTCAGCCCAAAAATTCACTTAATTAAAAGTTAAAAAAGTTATTTGAATTCGTAGATTTCCTCAATATTACCAAATAGATCTCTTCCTATATGACAAAAATTTAAATGACAAAATGGAGTAGGAGATTTGAATAAATGTTCTTTTTGTATCTCTTTGTCTCTTTAAAGTCTTCCATCTATCTTACAAAGATATTTTACAATTGACCTATGAAGTAAGCTACATACTGATTTTATCAACAAAAACAAACTAATTTATTCATTAATATTCACATACCAAAGTAAATTTGTCTATTATTGTTAAAATGCCATTAAATAATTAGATAGATGGTTATATTTGTTAGAGCGTTGTTTAGTTATAATATCCGTCTAAAAACTTATGACTTAGAGGTGTAATAGCTTATCACCGAGCGGGCTAATAACTTATGACCGAGCAATTTAGTAAGTTCTGAGAGAGCGGTCTAATATTTTATGTGCGAGCAGTCTAATAACTTACGATCGAGCTGTCTAATTACGTTAATAACAAACAAAGAGGTAAAAGCAGATTAGGCATCACTAGCATAGACTCTCTGAAGTCTGTATTGTTAGATGAATGGCAGAAAATTTCACAGGGAATGGCAGCAAAATTAGCTGAATAAATGCCGAGGAGGTTAAAAGTCGTTCTTGAGGCAAACGGAAAGCAAACAAAATATTGAAGTGTAGATTTTTTAGCTTTTTATTTATTAAATTTTTATTTAAATTTATAAATTTATTTATTAAATTTATTTGCAGTACATTTTTTTTTACACAATAAATCTGGATACAGTTTTGCTGTATTGCTTTTATTGATATAAAGCGAATTTAATTGTTTTTTAAGTTTAAAGAGATTTGAATAACTAAACTAAAATATTTATCAAAACCACTATTTAAACTATTGAAATAAAGCAAACAAATGTGGGAGATATATTGTACACTTTATTTTGAGGCTAATTGTACATGAAAGTAGTTAAAAGTAACAAGAATATTGAATTGTATCAAGAAATATTTATTCAATCTTCAAAGTTGATTCCACCATCTTTAAGATAGTGCTTCTTTAATATTATGCATTCATACCAGTTTGATTTAAACACTGCTGTACCATCTTTTTTCGGTATGTTTTAGTTTGTTGTTTAATATAGTAGCATGTTTCCACTGCTTACTTAAGTAAGTTACTTAAGAACTTTAAGATTTTGTCGTTTACATTAGCACAAGTTACTTGAGACATATGAAAGAGCTTTTGTATGTCAAAAAGTTCTAGTTGTATAGCTTTGTAACATAGCGTCACTTAAAGCACTGTAACTTGTAAACAAATGGTCGGATTAACATATGATTTTGACAGTAAGCCTAAAAAGGTTGCCACTTTCGAAAAAAATATTTATTTAGTATTAGTGCCGCCATCTATGTGTCAGTCACACACATTATTGAACGAAGTGTTATTAGAAGCAGATGACATTAAATTTTGTATTGTTAGAAGATAATAATTCAGTATGGATAATACAGAAAATGCAAAGTATTTCATACATAATGTTTGTGATTTTGTTCATAATAAGAATGCACCAGCTGCTGCATATAGAAACGAACATGATTTATAATAAATTACAAACTATTCAAAAACAATAAATAACAGAGATATTAAATATATATTTGATATATAAACTTATTTTATTTATATATCAATTTTATATTTTTTTTTTATGATAAACAAATATTTTAAAAATTCCTTATCTTTTGTTTGTTTGGATTTGTTGATTTTTTGTTTATATTTACACTTTGTTTCGTGTGTCAAAAATGTCGAATTTCGATCATTTGCAATGTTGCATTCGACATTTTTAATGTAATGTTGACTTACTATATTTTTAAGTAAGTTAAAAAGCGCGAAAGCTCTTTGTATGGTTAATGAAATTAACTTAGCAATCTCAAGTAAGTTAACTGGTCAGTGGAAATATGCTATTAGAGTTCAATTTAATGTAACTTTGTATGGAGTTTACTGCTCTAGAGTGGATTAGAGTGACTTCTATCACTACGAGTTCACGCTGGATTTAATTTAGATTAAATAAAAATAAACTAATAAATAAATAATTAAATATAAGAATTATTTCTAACACCACTGCTGATGGGTATTTGGCAATATTCTGAACAGTTGTATGGTCAGCCAAAAATTCAAATAATTAAAATAATATAAAAAGAATTTTTGTTATTGTAATTTACTACTGTTCGAAAAACCTCTTTATGAAAGTTATTTATTTAATACCTCCAGTTCAAAAAGTACCCGAATTTTGTAAATAAAACACACAAATTTAAATTTTATTCCAAATTTATTTTATTTCCTTCAAAATATGAAGGATTTCTGAAGCGATACACATATGCCAACGCTTATCTCAATCTTCCATACACTTTTCGTAGGCCCGTGCAGGTATGGCTTTTAGTTTCTTCGGCGAATTCCCTTTTACCGATTCAATCGACTCAAAACCGTTTACCACGAAGGGGCAATTTGAGTTTCGGGAACAGGAAAAAGTCGCACAGTGCCAGATCTGGCGAATATGGTGCCTGAGTATTCCATAGTGAAAATCGCTAAATGCATTTGAGGTAGTCTCACATGAACAGCTGTTATATACAAACTAATTGACAGATAGTGCTCGAATTTGTACCATATCATATGTCAAGGAAGGGTGTACCAACATAACATAACATAAAATTTTTGAAAAAGGTCTATTACTTAAGGAGTAGTTAACAAACAAAAAATCCGGATACTTTTTGAGCAGAAGGTTTTACATTTACTATATTAAAATATTAATATTAATAACATTAAAATATATATATACATGTATAAGTTAATAAAGTGGAGCACTACGACCATGATAGATATTTTTTTCTATTAGTATCTACTAGTTGAATCACTTTTTTTTTCTGATATTTTTGTTTATCGTATGTGTTAATTATGTGAGTACTAAAGAGTTGTTTTTTTTTTCTTTTAATGCAGGAGGTCACCGGTGAAGACGACTCTGATTTATATTTGGAGGAAAGAGAAATAGCATTGCGGGAGGAACAGGCAAATAAACGTCTTATGCAGCGTAGTGTTCCTGGCATGTTAAACCCTCACGAATTGCCTGAAGATATGCAGGATGAATAAGTTTATTTATTTGAAAAAAAAAAAAATTAATTTTTACGGATTCTTTTTCATAGTAATGAAAAATTTAAAAATTTATTAACTATAAATAAAAAAAAGCATTACAATGTAACAATAATAATTTTACACATTGCGCGAAACTATGTTACATTTTATGTTATAAATGAGACATTTGAATAATTCTGTTTGTTTGAAGTGAATAATTGTCGAAGTATGAATGTATGAGGAATACTATTCAACCACATATATACTATATATTATTAATAATATTAAACTATTTAATATGCAAACGAGTAATATTAAAAAAGCGAAGAATGATTGCGTCATTAAATTTTTAAAGTTAAATTTGTACATTTAAAGTTAAAAAATAAATCAAGAAAAATAAAAAAAACTAAAAAGTAATGTTATATATCAAAGAAACAAAAAGTAAAAACAACTAAAAATAAAATTTGATGAATTGTGTGAACGAAACAAATATTGGAATGCTGATTTTTATTTAACGATCTATGTGTAAGAATGTATATGTTCTCGGTATTATATAATTTGCGATAGTTACATGTCTTACTTAAACCATATATATTTTTTTTATTTGTACCTCCTTCTCTTAATTTTCATTTAATTATTAACGATACAATTGCATAGATAAGGTTATGTTAATCTAGCAATTTGCCACTATTTTACCATTGAAAATTGATTCAATAATTAGTAACGGAATAAACACTTCAAAACTAATTTCACAATAAAAAAAAACGCATTTTCATTTTAATGGATTAAAGGTTATCTAAGTTATATATATAAAAAAAAAGCCAAAAATTATATAAATATGAAATTTGATATTTAACTCATTCATGATAGCACACAGGATTATTTATTTTAAAAATCCGGAAGTAAACGTAAATAAAATACAGATTGAGATTTCAAATTTTTTTTTTTTTTAGTATTTATTTCAGTCAACGTTAAGCGGTTTCCAATTCCGAGGCATCCTTATGTCTTTCATTGGCGACTGATTTCACGTGACGGGAGTCAAATCATGTGCACAACCCAGATTTAAAGTCCTGTTGATAAGACTCGCTGTACATATTATTAGTTCATTACCCAGCAGGTGCCAGGTAACTATCAAGGGGTAGCACGTGGAGACTGTGTGACAACTTCGATTGAGGACGATAATGATTACGCTGACATTTTCCATGTTAAATACAATCAAGCACGTTGCCTTGTGTACTCTCCCTCCAGAGGCGCTTGGAAAGACATGCTGTGTCAGGCCGAAACCTTGCTATTAGATGTAATATTCAACATCATTCAAATGGCTGCTAAAGGACATTTTTTTTTTGTTGCAGTAGGTGGAAAGCATCGAAAGCCACAGTGTGATACTTGAACCCATTAAAACCACCTCTTAGGAATGAGTGGAAAAGATTCCCACAGCAATGTGAAAACTTCATTCCAGTAATCAGGGGAGAGAGAAAGTAGGTAGACTTAATAACTTGTGAACTAGGTTCATCTAAACCAGAAAACAAGGGCATTAATTAAGTGGAAAGGGTAATAATGAGAACATTTAACAGTACTGAATTCTTTTATGACAGTGAGTTATTGGTATTCGGCTGGCAGTAACTTAGATATAACTTAACGACTCTTCAATTTCAAGGCATCAAAAGTAATGAAATAAGCTTCTGGATTTTCCAGCAAGACAATGACCCAACGCACACTAGTCGAAAGCCGAAGCAATGGCACAGAATTAATTTTATTAAAGTAATGGAGTGGCCACATCAGTCTCCAGATTTAAAGCCTACTGGAAGTTTGTGGACTAAAGTTAAGAAGAATGTAGCCAAAAGCATTCCAAAAAGTAGTAATGAACTTTGAGCCGTTTGCTAACGTTTTTGAAACCAAATTAGAATAGAATAGTGTCAAAAACTCATTAATTCTATGCCGTCACGCTGTTCGGATGTACTTCCAGTAATGATCATGCCACAAAATATTAAATTTTAAATATTTGTGTTGTTTTTCTAGTAAAATTTTTTGAGTTAAAAAGTTTTTTTTTTTTAATTTTTTTGATATAAGTTTGGTAAGGGTAATTGTTTTTGGGTTAGGTTAAGGTCTTTATGTACTGCGACCAGCTTGATTTATTATGCACCCTTTTGTATTTAGACATTTAGTATCTCGAGGAATCGAATCAGCTCCTTCGAAGGGAGTTTTTCAAGATTTTCATCCCCTAGTTGGTATGCATTTAAAATTTTGTTTCTTCTGTGGTATAAGATTATAAAAGTCTTAACATATATATGTATAAAAAGCGCCATATAAATATTAATTGAAATTTCAATAATATAATAATATAATGTGATACAATAGATATGAAAGTAATAATACACAATTAGTAAAACATATTTGTATATATACTTGGTGAAACACACCATAAAAATAAAAGTGCTACTTTGTAGCAGTTGTATTTCAATCAACCTAAAGTTATTCATCCAAACTGATTAATAAGAAAGTAATTAAAAAATGTTAATTAAAAATTCGGTACTAAGTATTTTAAATATGTACTGTAGTGATAAATAAATATATATATATATATATATAAAGCCTACAATGAAAATTATTATGAATTTAATTGTATAATTTTGTAAATATTTCTTTAATGTATCTATTGTTCAACTCATGGTTTTTTCAATCTATTGATTTAGTAAAATATATAGGTTTATATTGTGACTATTACGGCTCTTAATTAAGTTTTCATTTAATTTCTTTTTTGGATCCTCTTACTAAATAAATTTTCTGCAATGGCTAAACAAGAAGCACCAAATTGGTCAATCACCAAACTGATCCCTTTTCCAAGTACATTTGGTATTGCTAGGAACACTATAAGACTTATGAGTGGCTCTCTTCTCGATCAATCAGTTATACTTACAGGAACTAACTAGAAAAAGTTCACACGAAGAACACCTCTAATGTGTATAATAATACCTTCGGTATTATATATTTAACATAGAATTTTGAGCCAAGACCACTATCTTCGCATATCGGCAAAAATGAAAATGATAGAAAAAGTGAAGATGGTTGATGTAAAATCTGGTGTCCACTTCATAAAAGTAGTGTTTCCAATATTTGCAAAGTGCATCTTCATCAAATGAACCGTGAAACCAGTTGATACAAACACCAAGAAAGACAAGTTTGAGTTCTCGAGCGAACGTACTAATCTTAGAGAAACTGCCAAAATGAAAAGAATTTTTTTTTTTCAATTTTGTGAATTTATAGTTAACGTTGTCGAAACGATTTTGACTTAAAATAATTTTATATGCCTGATGAAATATCCAATTTGACAAAAAAAATAATATATTCTTTGAAATATTCAGAAAGGTAAATTGATTTATTATCATTTGTGCAGTAATTTCATATATGCAGGGGGTATATAAATGTGAATCGCATGGTAAAACATTAGCAGCGGGCCGCATGGTTCAACATTCCCAACCATCTCTCTTCTTGTTCCTACTTTACATCTCCTTACTTACTTTCCCTATCTTCTCCTATTGTGAAAAATTTGCCGTTCTTATATGTGCTTAATCTATTTGGCTACGTTTTGTGGTCATTTGTCTGTTTATTGGTCTCAACAAACAAGTTCTTTGCATAGGAAACAACTATAATAATAATATGATGATATTTTATAATAACATAGTAAATATAGTTCTATATTAAATTAAAAAATATAGCTTAAATGTTTTAATAGCTTAGTATTATATTATTATATATTATTTAAGTTTCCTTAACTTCTTCAGTATATTAAGGGTATAAAATTAATACAATTAACTTAACAGGATTAAGTTAACGCGATTACTGTTAATAAGATCTCAGCACCTTTTCTTATATTTTAAAGCTAGGTGGACCGGAGTATTTCACATGCTTTATGTAAATTCTTCCTATAATTAGCTAGATGAAGAATAAGGAGGTACTAGATCTAGACTGTCTGTTTTTTTTTTGTTCGTTTCAAATGAAGATGAAGTCGATTTAGTTAGCCAATCGACGCCCTACGTTCTCTGGCCGGTTTTGAAGTGATGTTGAAAGATTGAAAAGAAATAATTGTTGCTTGGGTATCAGTGAAAATGGTGACCTCACATTTTTAGTATATAATTAATTGACATGCCTTTCTTATCATTTAAGACTTAACCCTTTTCATTAGGTATCCGAAGAGAATTATTTATTTCTGCGGGGCTAATTAATTACTTCCTGAATAACGGAAAGTTTGCGGTACTTCCTCCTCTGTACATTTTCACGCCATCCATGAAATTGAGATGTTAAAATTTGCATCAAGATTTGTTTTTTTTCACATATTACTTGGTTATGCTATGATCTATGCTCTCACCCTATGCGGATCATAGCTAGAAATTGTGTCAAGAATCTGAAAATGTCCATATGTATGTTTTATCATGCATCCTCTTCATTTGTGGCTAACAGTGCCGCAGCAATATTAAGGTTAATGGATAAAAGATATGATATTATATTTATTACATTCGTAAACAACATCCTAAGAGCTTCAGTACCTTTTGATTTCTGTCGATTTTTTAATGTTATAGATCTTGTCTAAAACTGAAAGTTAATTAAAGTAATTTTGTGAAGAAATCCCCATATTTTTTGTAAATTATTCGCGTCAAGCATAACAAGTAACAACAACAACAACCATTTATTACGTATGTTACATCACTAACAGCAAGGAACCTAAAGTTCATGTGTATGTTGTTGGTGTTTGATAAGTTATTTTTTTGTTGTAAGGTATTCAGTATAACACTGCAACGTCTATCGATTAATAGTACCATAATGGACTAAGGAAGGGATACTAGGGGCAGAAGTGTGTGCCTCAATGGCGGAGTGATGCGAATACATAGCCTAGCCTCCTCAACAGCCAACTTCACATACACGTGGTGTATTCTGTTCTCGCATACGAGGCTCTGGTGACCGAGCACACCCAGCGGAGGGAAAACTCTCTAGCTACCAAACACCAATTTTATCCTCAGGTTTGCAGGGATCTGGTGGTCTAGGCTGGGGGTTGATCTCAAGGTCAGCAGGCTCCCATCGGAAAAAAACACCAGCTATGCAACCTTCTTTCAAAAAGAAGGAGACCAAGGTTCACATTAGATTGTAGTGCCAAATAAGAATAAGAAGAATAGACTAAGAAAAACCTTTATGAGAATAGAAAAACCTTTCGTGGTAAGTAAAACCTCATTAATGTGGTTTAAAAAATGTTATATTTATTTACTTACATACACTTATATTCACTTTTATTTGAAAACGATATTTTATATCGTCAACTTATATTAGTCGTACTTTTATATGCAGAAATTTATTTTTTTTGAATAATGGAAACCAAATATTGAAAATCTTCTGAGCTGTTTCGTGAATATTACCCGTACCGACAGTTGCATACTTTTTGGTTTGCACGGAGAATGCATTTTCAATTTCATTACTGACAGTATACTTGAATGCGGTATTATTAAATCGCTGATTATACAGCAAACATCGGTATGTCATATCTAAAAATAATAGCCAACGTGGTTTATAATAGTCATATACTATGCCAGACCATTGTTTAGTAGCATAATCTAAAATTTGTCCTTTAGGTCCCCATGCGGTAATCTGATTGCGGGCATTAATTTCGTACAAACTTAATTCGGTGGGATTCCCTGCTAAAGATTTAGCTCCCTCAATCCATGGTCCAATTAAAAAACTAGTATGCGTAGCTAACATTTCCTCCAAGTCATCAAATAATAGTAACATTTTTTGAGCTATATAACTGTAACGTTCTCGCTGTTTTTTATTGTACGCAGATACTAAATTAACGTACATACGATCAGCAGTGTTCTGCAAAAACTGACGGGTTAGGTCGACAAGATCATACTCATAGCTTGCATAGTGATCATCGGAAATGATTGATTTGGCATTCAATAATAATTTAAAAGCCTGTTCTATGTCTGTAGCATTATACCAAGACCAAGGGCTTAAATTAAAAGATGGACGCCTGGTTATAACATACTTACCACGTAATTGCTGCAAACCATGAAATGAGTACACTGATTTGCGAAGTAATTGCCATACCTTTTGTAAGTTTTCATCGCTCACACCATAACGCACGTTGGCGTAATCATTGAACCACTTAACCAAATCAAAATCGTCATGTAGCCAAGCACGCTCCAAAGTTAATGCATACATAACATAGTTTTGATGAATGCCTTCTGGTGTAATGCCGACGCCAATCATGGAGCTGTTACTCATTTCACGCGCCTTGCGTATATTTGTATTTATTATTTCCGCAGAACCATGCATCCCAAGTGTGCCTCCGAAATTATGTAGCATACACCAAATAAATGGTTGACCATGAAACGAATATGTACGTTCGTACTGCGGAAACTGTTCACTCTGTAAGTCCAATACTATTAAACGGCCGAGTGGGACAGCAGTCAAGAACGCCTTTATCAATTCATCTTTCCAAAATATATTCTTCACAAACATCCAGCCTTGCAAAAGCCAATGGGCATTTGGATCAACAGCTCGCATGGAGTCGTAAATATGATAAGCTGTCGAGTTCATGTAATTAACATCGGCTAAACGTGGCTGCACTTCATTGAACGGATCAGCAAAATAAATGTTGTTTGTGCCGTAAGTGTCAATAATTCGGTTAAGAAACATTTTAGAAATTTTTGCAAATAAGCGATCATGCGGATCTAAGAAGAGACCGCAGCAATATGTTCTTGGAAATTTATTCCACTGTTCTGTCGCAGAAAAATTTGACTCTGGATAAAGAACAGAGAGACGTGTAGGTACATGTCCGGCAAAGGCAGGCAGGGCTACAATCATGCCTAAATTACGTTGTGCCGTCAGTATTTTTTGCTGCAATAACAACTGCATGTTTTGATATGTTGATGATAATGGACCACCCCAACCACGTATGTTGCCCATTCGCTGCCTATGGATTTAAAAAAAGTGTTATCATTATGAATTTATATAATATATTTTTATTTTAATAATTTTGTTGTTACTAATTGTTATTGATTATAAATTACTAATTACTTTTAAGTTATCAATATCAATATTAAATAATTAAGATCGTTTCCTACACACCTAATTTAATTTATATTGTTAGCTATTTTTAAAAATTATTAATATTTTTATAATTAATAAATACAAATAATATATTATAGATTGAGGATAGGCAAATGGGTGACTCTGTTACGTACAGAGATATGGGCATCCATGTAGGTAGTTAATAAATTAGTTGCATAACTTTAGACCTTTTCTTTTCAGTTGTCCTCTCTCTCACTGATTTGATTTTGCTATATATAGAGAGTTTCTTTAATATCTGAGTCACAACGAATATTTTTTTTGATTGTTTTGTATGTTTCCAATATTAGTTTCTGAAAGTTCTTTGAAGTCTCCGAAAAAGGATATTCAAAAAATTGTATCCTGGTTCTTGACTAACTCTGTGGATCTGGACGATCTGTGCGTATTAATTCTTTTTTATTTGACAAAGGCATCTCTCTCACTGATTTGATTTTTGATTTTGATTTGACAAAGGCATCTCTCTCACTGATTTGATTTTGCTATGTATAGAGAGTTTCTTTAATATCTGAGTCACAACGAATATTTTTTTTTGATTGTTTTGTATGTTTCCAATATTAGTTTCTGAAAGTTCTTTGAAGTCTCCGAAAAAGGATATTCAAAAAATTGTATCCTGGTTCTTGACTAACTCTGTGGATCTGGACGATCTGTGCGTATTAATTCTTTTTTATTTGACAAAGGCATCTCTCTCACTGATTTGATTTTTGATTTTGATTTGACAAAGGCATCTCTCTCACTGATTTGATTTTGCTATGTATAGAGAGTTTCTTTAATATCTGAGTCACAACGAATATTTTTTTTTGATTGTTTTGTATGTTTCCAATATTAGTTTCTGAAAGTTCTTTGAAGTCTCCGAAAAAGGATATTCAAAAAATTGTATCCTGGTTCTTGACTAACTCTGTGGATCTGGACGATCTGTGCGTATTAATTCTTTTTTATTTGACAAAGGCATCTCTCTCACTGATTTGATTTTGCTATGTACAGAGAGTTTCTTTAATATCTGAGTCAAAACGAATATTTTTTTTGATTGTTTTGTATGTTTTCAATATTAGTTTCTGAAAGTTCTTTGAAGTCTCCGAAAAAGGATATTCAAAAAATTGTAGTCCGGTTCTTTACTAAGTCTGTGGATCTGGACGATCTGTGCGTATTAATTCTTTTTTATTTGACAAAGGCTCTAAAGATTATCTATTAAAAAAATAAGTCTGCGAATGCCTGCTTAATAGACAATTGTTAGTTATAAAAGAACATACCTATACGCCGATTTTGTTTAAACTAAAGTTCAAATTAAGACAACTGACGGTCTTAAGAACTTATCTTCATGATGAATTGTAAATGTGAAAAAATATTTTAGAAAAAATAAAGATTAGGTTAAATATATTAAAGAAAGTATGGCAAGGTAGTTATTTAAGTACTAGAGTCATACGTAGTAAAGCATGGGTGCATACCTAGTTAATATTAGTTAAAATGATTATATTTGATTTTTAACCTCAATATGACATAAGTGATTATTTTTACTTCAACAGAAACTGTGGTATTTAATAGAGAAGTTTCGAACAGTAGTGAACTACAACAACAAAAATTATTTTTACATTATTTTAATTGATTAAATTTTTGGTTGACCATACAGCTGTTTTGAGTATTTGAGTATTATAATTTTTGTATTTTATTGTTTGTAAATAATTTTTTGAGACTGCAAGTACCAGGGATTGGAATCTTGCCCTGTCAAATTCAAAGCTCAGAGTCAGCGCTCCTTAATCAACTGACTCAAAGTAGTACTTGACTTTTATGTTCGCACATTTTTATGGAATTTCGTTAATTTGATGTGAATGTTTTATTATTCACAGCTGTATGGTTAGCCAAAAATTCAATTGATTAAAATAATATAAAAATAATTTTTGTTGTAGCTCACTTCTGTTTGAAACTTCTCTATTAAAATAATTAATGTTATTAACATATTATTTATTTTAATATATGTATGTGATCACCTACCAGGCTTGAAATGCTGGTCCTGCAAAATGCTTCTGGATGTCCAGATCTGATAATCCTAAATCTGCATATACTTCTTGCCAAATTTTCTCTTGTACCGGTGCTATTGTAATACTTATACCCATCAAAGCCATCCAGTCAATGTGTCGTAGCCATATAGACCAAGACCACCAAGCAAAACTATAACTCCAGGTGCAGACATTTTGATAATAAATAAATGAACTCTCTGAAGTAGACGTAAGATTAATGTATGGCCAGCTACTTGTTGGTGGCAATTTCACTCGTTCGTTTTCCCAGGTGATATCTTTCTTGAGATAGTATTTTAAATAGTAATGAAAGCCCTTTGCCAGTGAAACTCCATCCCATCCATGTATCACAATCCTACTGCCACGTTTTACTATCTATTAAAAAATTATTTGAAATATGATTTTTATTTTTAATCATTTTCTGAATGTACTTTATGTTATAATTTGATGTACTCAGTTGGTATAATCGATAATAATGTTGACATATTTGTTGCTGTTTTTTTAAGATGAAAAATATTTATGCAGATGATTTCAACTGAAATGATCAAGCTTAATGGTTCTATTATTATCTAATTTTGCTATATATGTAATATATATATAAGCTATAAACTACTCTTCTTATGATAAAGTATGAGTGAAAAAAAGAGCAATTGAAATAAAATAAAAAAAACAAGCAAACCATTTTGAAAGAACAATGATGTTGTCTTGTGTATTATTTGTTTGTTTGTACAAAATTATTTAAGTGAATAGTGCCAAATATTATAGTTAATTAACCGTTAGAAGTGAAGAATTATAATTTGAAATTTTGTAAATTTTAATTACTTAGCAAAACTACTATTTATTTTAAGAATATTCATAATAATAAGAATTTTAGAAGATTTTTATAGTCTGATTATAACTGGTAATATTACTATAACAAAGCCAAGTTATTTATTGAAATGTAATTTTTTTTTTAATTTTATTTCAATTTATTTTAATTGTAATTTTACAGTTAATATAAACAAGTACAAATGCAACTGTAATATCTTTCAGACGGACTATATCTCTAACAAACTATTGGGAGTATTGAGTATCCCATATTCTAAATAAAGGCTTTGGAACATATAAAGGCTGTTTATTTGCTTTTCTATTACAACTCATTTTTTTCATTAGAAGAAAATTCACAAGAATAATATAAAATTGAATAATATATAATAGACTAACCAAGCAAAAAAAAGGCGTGATATTGTATCGATAGGCGAATAATCAAACACAATTTTTTTTAAAAGTTCAGAGAAGAGTATGGTATATATTTATTATTCATTAATTTGTTCTTTATATAAAATCTTTATATAAAATACGAACTGCTATTAATAGATTACACACGCTTATTTTTTTCGATCTAAATACGTGTCTATTATGAATGATTAATAAAACTCACAAAACATGATTTTTTTAGCTAATATAAACTATTGTTTATTACTGAATATAAAATAATACTATTCATTGTGTTCAAAAGTGCTTACAATATCCCTTAATCTAGAATTACAGTAATAACTCTTTTTTTGTCTCTTAAGAGGACACTCATTCTCAGCGAACTTTAGTCATTTCATGAAGAGTGCCCAGCCAAAATGGATTAAGTTGTTTCAAATAGTAGTAAAATAAATTTAGTTATAGAAAAATAGTCAACCGATCATAAAAACTTACTTTGAAAGTTCTAAAAGGTATTTCTTTATCTACGAAAACTTTGAAGTGATTCGCGTCAGGACCAATAGCTCGTAACATTAGCTGTTCTACAGCTTGTTCTTGTACATCGAAGGAAACATTTGATAATAATTTTGGAATTATATAAGATGATCCTACAAATAAAAACATATTTTTAACTGTTATTATACGTACATAGAAATCAAATATTTCTTACTTAAACTATAAACTATAGTGATTATAGAAAACTAATAACTATAAGCATAAGCAAATACATCGGATATACATATATCTTCTTGAATCCATTGTAACAGTAATTTTTTTTGGTTTTGCTTTTGCTTGGAATTGTAAATTTTTAACTTTGATTCTGCATTCACCAACAATATTATTACTTTTATTTTATGTTTATTTAATCCTTGATTATTATTTCATCATTTCATCACTTTATGAACCCAATTTCACATGGTTTCAAGTTCACAGGATCTCAACGGGCTGTTTAGATGTTCGTCTGTTCATTCAAAACCGATAGAAGGAAAGGTTTTTTTAAAGGCCTGCGGAAAATTCTACAAATATGGTGGCCTAACCACATATCAAATGCAGAACTTTTACTCCAAAGAAATCAGAAAGCTGCTGTAAACGATATAGAAATGCGAAAACGAAATTAGATAGGGCATATCATCCAATAACCAAATTAATACATTTTACGATAAGCTTTGATTTGGTACCCACAAACCAGCAGACACTCTGTTGCACCGTCTTTAACTTGGAGAAGGACAATTGAAAGAGTAATGACAAAAGTGCCATACACATGGAACTATATGCGCAGAAAAGCACCTAACAGAGTTCGGTTTAAGAAAATCCTAACGGCCCTATATTTCGCTAGAGTAAACGGGCACTAAGAAAAAGAAGATATGACGGTGCGATTTGTAATAAGAACATTTAAAGTTAATTAAATAATTAGAGCAGTGAGTTACAAGTTTAATGTGATGTCTTCCTGCAAAGTGCTTAGATCAATTGTATCAATTGTACATCAGATAATTTTTATCATATTTAATTTCTTAAATATGGGTTCATTTAGAACCATAAACAATTCTTCAATATGCATTTGAGACATAGGTGCTCAGCAAAAATCATTAATATATCTTAATTGTGTTTGAGCCATAAGTTGCGATTTATGAAAATGAAATTATCAATAAAGTAGTTAGCAAAAAGTGAATCAGAATCTCCAATCTGAACCAAAAATTAAAAAAATAGGATATTTTTGCCTATAGCAGAATTAAAAAAATATTATTGATTTATTTTAGTTCAGTACCGTACGGCATAGTCCCCACTTATGTATGGAGATGATAAACAAAACTATTTTTAGAAATGTAAAGAAACAATTTTTAATATAAACTTCAGTTCATTGGGAACTGAAAAATAGATATTTTTGACAGAGCGAAAACCGAAACTGAACCGAATTATTTTTTTTTAATTGAACCACAATATAAACTGGAATGAATATTTTCTAGTTGAAAGTTCTGATGGGAATGCTATAACTAAACGTCTAAGACGCAAGGAAGAAAAGACTTAGAATATCACAGGAGAATAGTTTAAGATAAAGCAAGTGTTTTATAGAACTCTATAGAATTATAATACCAAACCAAACACTATAACCGGCTTATAATACTTGGCATTCAGGCATTACTTTTTTTATAAACAAAAATTGTCGGTTCGTAAACATGATTAAAAATCATAGTACTTTCTTCTTTTTTGGGCTTGTCTTAAAAAAGAGTAGTGGAAAAGAATATCCGAAAACATACATAAATGTCTTCAATGCCGCTTAACCAACAACATTGCGAAAGTATTCTCAGATAAGAGAATTATTTGTTGACAGTGGATTAGATTTCCATATATCTTAATATCTATATTTGTAGTTATATCAAAATAGAATTGCAATATGTTCACTTTATTCCTTTTCAAATAGTGTTGACGATGTATAAAATTCTTCATATTTTCATTCGATTTATCGAGTATGCACTGTACACTATTTATGTATTAAAAAATTAATTATATTAAACTCAAAATGAACTATTTTTCATAAGATTTGAACTTTTTCGTGCCCTTACGTGCCCGAGATTTTCTAAGAGATTATGGAGATACGAATAAGAAAGCAAGACAAATACGAAATGATTACTAAAGCATAAGTTATGAAATGTCAGGCATCACTTTATACATGCATTCATAGACACATCTGTATATATGTAGTTCCATTCACGTTTATTTTTAGATATTCTCGGTACAATTTTTTGACTTCAAGTCTCCGTGATTTTTGTATGAAGACGACGTTTGTTTATTGTCTTAACATTGAACTTATTTATTTACTCGAACGTTATAAAATTTTTTTAAAACTTAAAGCTTTTTATTATTATCACATGCCCTTCACACATTGTCTTTCATAAAAAAGGTCACTGTAAACAATTTTTTTAAAAGAGCATTTACAATTCGCTTTTCTTTTTTTTTTTAAAACAGAAAATTCTTTAATAGTTTAGGTTCACTGACCTGGAGAAAATCCATAAATTAAAATAGTAATTATTATAAAAAACTTCATGTTTCAAAAGTTTTACAAAAACACATAAGAAAAAATAATCAAAACTTAATGGAAAGCAAATCTGTTCACATCAAAGCAATAATCGGCAATGAACTTAAAAAGCGGCTTTGCCTTGTCTTTATAAAGCATAATTCTGTTATTATCATCGAAATATAAAACGGAATATCAAATATAGTGCAAGTACCTATCCCAGTAAGCAATTAATACCATTTCTAATGTTTGCAGAAGTACTTCATTCTAAAATTTTGTTATATTTAGAAGTGCTTCAAAGGATTTGAGCTCCTGAGGACTACTCGACTTCGTGCATTTAGATTGAATACTTTAAATGTTCTAAGATATTCCAGCTGAATAATAATAAATGCTCGAAAACCATACGATATTCCATCTACATCTACAGACCATCTACAGACAACAAAGACTTTACAATTTTGATATATGTATTGTTTTTTATACGACATTATGAATGTTTTAAATTTTGATAATAGAACTTTAGAAAATGTAGTATATCTCTCTTTAGGATGATCCTTTAATTTCAATTATAATGAAGTAAAGTTCAAAAAACGTCGGCAAAAATATTTTTTAGTGTATACTTTCCTTTGCCATAATTCTGGTCATGCCATTGTCTCAAGCACAAGTTTACTTGAACATCAAAATGCATAAAGTTTCAAGCAGGTGAAATTATATATCAAGCTCTAATTATTCTGCTTAACTGAAGTATTCTCCATATTCATTAAATGACTTAAGAACTCATCGAAATTTTTCGGTTTCATAACTAAAACTTGTCGAACAAAAAATTCTTTTATAAATTACATACTTATCTGTTTAAGTTTCTTTCATCGTCATATCCTTATGTTTCCTAATATATAGAACAATTAGTGTATTTATATATCGTAAGGCTACTAGCTTTTAACTCGATTTTTTTAACTGTTACGCAAAAAATCAAAAAATATATAGATGGGCTATAACTACACAAGTTATTAGAAAGACCTGTCATTTTGCATGACCACAGATCATAAGTAAACTGGTTATAAAGTTATTACTACGTTTGCTCACCAGTGCATAATTACAATAAGCAGGACCTCAGTATGTCCTGCAATAATAACCATTTACCCATTGTGCATATTTGAAATCATTTCTAAGTTGGTATAAATATTACATATGTTGATCTATATATAAATACTTTTCTCCTTTAGCCTACCTACATAGACATAGCACAAGTGATTTATATCTTGATTATAATTTTGCTTGTTCGGTATCCTTCTTTATCGAGCGTCAGCTGAAATTAAGATTGAATTCAAACTCCTGCAAAATCAAGTCAAGTAAAGGAAAACTCGTAGTAATTTCACATAATCCAATAAGCGTTGCCAAACACATGAACACTAACACCATCTAGTGACAAAAAACTTCGAATACTTTTCGATATCACCAATATCAGTTTATTTTTGTTAGTTAAACCTTAGTACCATACATTTACGAATCTTGAATATCAGCATAGGTATGTGGCATAGCATCAATTAATTTCTTTATAGTACATAATAATGTAAATTAACAACCACTTCTCAATGATTTTATTCATTTCTATTAATAACAATATGACAAAAACATTGAATTAAATGAGATTATTATATTTTTAAAAAATTTATATATTATATAAAACAAAAATTTAATAATTTTATTTGAGTTATACGTATATCATTACAATTCTAAGAAGACTCATAAAATTCAAGGTTCATCAGACGCGTTTCCACTTGACTAAACAACTTTTTTAATATACATTATACATTGTGAATGATATTTTAGCCATTTCTACATGAGCCGCAATTTTTTCCTTCAGAGTTGTAAAAAAACAGCATTAAGCCTGATGGAAACAAATTGGCATCATTTTTATTATGTGCTACTCTGAAAGAAAAAATTGCGGCTATTCTTAATTTAAGTGTCAATAATATATTAAACTAAATAAAAATTGATGTTTTTGCAATTTATGTTATAGTACATTAACACTGTCTCATTTAGGCACTTGTTTATTTAACATATATTAATGAAGAAACGTTCACATTATAATGAGCTCATTTATGCAATTGATAGAACTTTTATAAAATTTACTTAATAATATATCGCACAAAAAAATTCAATCATTTACGTATATTTCCATATTTAATTAATAAAAACAAAGATTTTATGAAATACTTACTTCCTCAGTGCCTTTGTTTACAGTTCAGCTGATGTTTGTTTACATTTTACATATGAAATATATGGCAAATATTGTAATGTTTGATAGTTTCCCTTGTGGAAAATTTATTTTTAAGGGTTGCATTCGACAAGTTCCGTCTTAATTGAGCTGATTTATTGATAATGAGCTCATTTATATGAACGATTTTTGTATGGCTAATCATTCTCATTAGTTGTTATTATGAGCAAAACCATCTACATCAAACAGTGTAAATGTGCTATTATATGTATACAATAAAATAAAAATTATTTAAAAAATAATATAATAATTGAATGTATTAGACAAATTTTATTTTCTTATGAAATTGAAGCTGAAAGAAGAAATTGTTTGCTGGGATAAAACTGTAATTCCTTTTACAACTATAACGATCGTGACTAATAATATTGTTACAGTATATCAGTACTGATTCTATTATTTTATTTAGCATTTAAATTACATATGTGTGTGTGTACATATAGTTGTTGTTGCAAAGAGGGCGAAAAATATATAAAAGAAATTATGTTATTTCTTTGATAAGCAAAGAATTGACATTGTCACTATTTAAGTATTACCAGTGCGAGGTCGTTATTATGTCCATTATTAATGGAAATTGTATCTTGAGATTTACTTGGAAGCAATGATTATTATTTTTGAATTACATATGGTTTTACAATAAACTACATAAATAAATTATTTTTTTAATAACAAACATTATGTTTAATTACTAGAAAAGTACTACATATAAGCAATATATATAGATACATATACATATCTATATTTTATGAAGCTCCAATTGAAGCATATGGTTTTAAAAAATAAACCATTTTTAATTTGTTATGTTATTGTTTTGTAATTAATTCCAGTTCCATATTTTACCTCTCTCTAAAAACAAATAAATGTATGGATAAGTGGTGTTTGGGTACAGGTTTAAAATAAGATAATGGCTTGATCACATGTTTAAGACTGCATTTCCCGGCTACTTCCGTGGTTACTAACAGAAAAATTTTACTTAAATTAATTGATTAAATTATATGCATGGTGAGTTTACTTTTAACTTTTAGAAGATTGGACTTCAGAATTCCGAAAAGACATGAGTAGAGTCGAGTAGTTGTTGTGATTTATTCCATAACTTGTTAGAGTGCCTGATTCATTTTTCTTGATTTATTTGATTTCTATTCTAATTTAATTTTAAGAGTATTTACGCTCTTGAATTCTGAAAAAAATGTAAATCTTATGGGTTATGTTTAAACGTACGTGGCAATCCCGGCTTTGAGCCTATTAAGTTATTTTGAGATATCTACCATTGTTTTACTGCACCCAGGCGTCAATTATAAAAGAGTAGAAAGTAGATCACCAATTATGCAAAACTCGATTACAATCGTTATTTTTACTTTTTTTGAGAAAAACCAAATTAAAAATTTTTATAAATTTGAAAATTGTGAAAAATATATTTCAAAATTACACAAAACTCTTTTGAGAATACATGAAGAAAGTATAAATAAATTTGACTGCTTGACAATGCCAATATGTCAGCAGGAAACTTTAGCGAGAGACTTACCATATTGTTGTTTTCCATACTTCGGAGCGGCTGAATACACCTGTTATAAAAGAAGATGAGCTCAAAAAATTTAAATAGTACATTTTATAACGTTATGTATGCTCTTTTGCGCGATAACTCTGCAGATAAACATTCCTTGTAAAAAAAATCATCAGTCAATTGAAACTCATTTCGTCATTAAGTACAATCCATTATGCCAGCATCTGACTTAATCATATATTTTTCGTAATCTTATAGCTGGATGATCTTCAATTTATTAACTTTTGTCTTTTGAGCAAGATCGTCTGGAAATGTTTTTCTTATAATAGTAACTTTAGTTTAGGGAACAGAAAGAAATCATACGAGGTCATACCAGTCGAGAGTGGTGTTTGGTGCTTGATCGATCAACGATCAACGGTGCTTGCTAAAAACTTTTGCACAACGATGACTTTATAGCCTTTCAATGCACTATTTACAGACTAACTTACAGAAAACAAATGTGATAAGTGATTTATTTGAAAAACACGAATATTTTTAATTATTTATTACCTGCGAGCTTGGTGCAATCCTCTATATAAGTGCATTAATTAATTAATGAATGTTGGTCTGATGTTCTTCGGGGTAGGAATTTTTTGTTATGGCTCTTCTACGCATTTTTCGTTATCTTACGATGAATATCTACATTCCATAAGCCGTGCATTACGTCAAATATATTTGTCTGGCAATATCTTACGCTGAATTTTTGTGCTATCTAACGTTGTTCACATAATTAGGACGGTGGGTGAAGTTTATGAATTTGACTTAATGCTATTAGTGCAATAGAGCATATATTTTGAAGAAGTTCTTTCATTAATTGTTGAATTATTTACACTTGATCGCCATGTTTTTCTTCATTTGAATTTGTAGCAAGATCATTGAAGAGATGATAAGAAGATCTGAAGATTTGGGCATAACTTTAAATAGAGAATATATCGTTTCTGGTAGTGTGATCATTAAGGATTCATATACTCCTATTATTGTTCGAATGTTTTTGTAGTAATTGGTTTTATTAACCAAGAATGGCCGAAAAACAACATTTCGTGCTTTATTCCATCAACAAAGTGGCCACCGTGTCGACCTGATTTAAACTTTTTAGATTTCTCAGACAATGGGTCAAAAACCACAAAGCTACTTGCGGGCAAGCGGACGATAGTTTCATTGGCTGTTTGAAGGCCATAATATATGCCAGAAGTGGCCATATTAAATTAAAATAAATTAACTTTAAAGTTTAAAGTTCTTTTCGCATATTTTCATTTATCTATCATTAAATTTAACAAAACTAAACAAAATAGAGGGTTTTACTTT